GGTTAACTAATCGCAGGGATTAAAATCAAGTAACGATTAGTGTCTGTGTCTGTGTCTGGTGAAGTTATGTAGGGTCCTAAAAAAATAAAATAAATAAATATAATAAAAATAAAAATTCACACACTCACATTGGAAATCTAGAGATAGTATGTAATTCATACTTACCAACATAGCTATTAATGGCCACAATAGTCAACGCTATCAGGAAAGAAGAAAACAAAACAAAAATATCATTATAATAATTCCTGTACTTTTATTAAATAGAGTTTATTGTGTAATTATTATTATTATTATGGTCGGTGTTTCTTGTGAGAACTCAGGTCTAGCCTGGTTAACTAATCGCACGGATTAAAATCAAGTAACGATTAGTGTCTGTGTCTGTGTCTGGTGGTTATGTAGGGTCCTTAAAAAAAAAAAAAATCACACGTACATTGGACATCTAGGGATAGTATGTAATTCGTACTTACCAACATACCTATTGATGGGCACAATAGCCAACGCTATCAGGAAAGAGGAAAACAAAACAAAAAAAAATCATTAGGTATAATAATTCCTGTAATTTTATTAAATGGAGTTTATTGTGTAAGTGTTTCTTTGGCTTTGCGTTTGGGTTGAATACGAGTGGGTTGTGATAACGTGGTGTGTTTCTGTGAAGAAGGAGTTTTGTGTTTTTTAATTGTATTTATGGTGTTTCTCTGTTCCTGAGGTCGTATTTGTGAGGTTGCTTGGGTTTTTGGTGGAGATATTGCAGTATTTTGTGAGCCTGTGGTGCTGTTAAGGTTTTTGCGTTTCGGTTGTATACGAGTGGGTTGTTTCTGAGAAGAAGGAGTATTGTGTTTTTTAACTGTGCTAGGGCGTGTAACTTTATTGGATGGACCTGTCTTTGTAGTACATGTTGCGTTACTTGTGTTTATGGTGTTTCTTTGTTCTTGAAGTTGTATTTGTGAGGTTGCTTGGGTTATTGATGGAGATATTACAGTATTTTGTGAGCTAGTAGTGCTGTATAGGTTTTTGCGTTTGGGTTGAATACGAGTGGGTTGTGATAACGTGGTGTGCTTCGGTGAAGAAGGAGTTATGTGTTTTTTAACTGTGCTAGGGCGTGTAATTTTATTGGGTGGTCCTGTCTTTGTAGTGCATGTTGCGTTAGTTATATTTATGGCGTTTCTTTGTTCTTGAGGTTGTATTTGAGAGGTTGCTTGGGTTTTTGCTGGAGATATTTTAGTATGTTGTGAGCCTGTAGTTCTGTTAAGGTTTTTGCGTTTCGGTTGAATACGAGTGGGTTGTGAAAATGTGGTGCGTTTCTGTGAAGAAGGAGTTTTGTGTTTTTTAAATGTGCTAGGGCGTGTAACTTTATTGGATGGACCTGTCTTTGTAGTGCATGTTGCGTTACTTGTATTTATGGTGTTTCTTTGTTCTTGAAGTTGTATTTCTGTTGTTGCATGGGTTACTGGTGGAGACATTACAGTATTTTGTGAGCCTGTAGTGCTGTTAAGGTTGTTGCGTTTGGGTTGAGTACGAGTGGGTTGTGTTTGTGATAACGTGGTGAGTTTCTGAGAAGAAAGAGTATTGTGTTTTTTAGCTGTGCTAGGCCGTGTGGGTGAGGGCGTCTTTGTAGTGCGTGTTGCGTTACTTGTATTTATTGCGTTTGTTTGTTCAGGAAGTTGTGTTTGTGTGGTTGGTTGAGTTAAGGGTGGAGATATTACAGTATGTTGTGTGTCATGTTGTGAGTCTAAAGTGCTGTTTAGGCTTTTGCGTTTGGGTTGAATACTAATGGGTGGTGATAATGTGGTTTGCTTCAGAGGTGAATCTCTGATTGTAGTATATGTTGTATCATTTGTTGTACTTGTTTGTTCGGTAAGTTGTATTTGTGTGTTTGTTTGGGTTAGAGGTGGAGATATTACAGTATGTTGTGTACCGTGTTGTGAGCGAGTACTGTTGTTTACATGTATACGTTGTGGATCATTTCTGTATGTAGTATCTTGTGTTATGTTTAGAAATTTACGAACAATATGGCATGTGTTGATAATGACTGCTTTTTGTAAATGTTTGTATGTGTTTTTGTCTAAACCTAATAGTTGTAAATTGTGGTGTATTGTCTTTGGTATAACTCCAGTAGCACTAAGAATAATGGGAACTATAACAGTAGATTTCATTCTCCATTGCGTCTTAAGCTCGATAGCTATATCGGTGTATTTGCGGTGTTTTTCTGCATGTGTTTTAGTTAAGTTGTTAGTGTTGGGGATGGCAATGTCTATAATACAAATGGATTTTTGTGTTTTATCTATAAGTGTAATGTCTGGTCTATTATTGTGGATAGTTTTATCTGTGAGTAGTGTCCTGTCCCAATATAATTTGTGTGTGTTGTTTTCGAGTATGATCTGTGGCGTGTATTTGTAGTATGGTGTCGTATCTGTTATGAGATTGTGTTTAAGTGCTAATTTTTGATGTATGATTTTAGCTACCTGATCGTGTCGATGTTTGTATTCAGTTTGTGCAAGTCGTGTGCATGCCGATATTATATGTTGGATTGTTTCTGATGTTTGTGAACAAAGTCGACAAGAATCATTTGTCACTGTTTTATCTTTATGTATGTGTTTTTTATAGTTGCGTGTGTTAATGACCTGGTCTTGTATTGCTAACATGAAACCCTCAGTCTCCGGGAAGACATCACATTCAGTATTATTATTATTATTATTATTATTATTAATCCACCCGACTTCGAAAATGTTCAAAAACATATAAAAAAACATATATGGGTAGAATGAGCCGGCGCTCCGTCAAGTTGAAACCAGTAGTTTTCTCCATATGTTTCCAAGAGTGGTACAAATGACATCTACTAAGACATAACAGTCACAATTTTAGAAAATCTAAAATAAATCGAAAAGCATTCCAGAAAGGTATAGGGAATCTATAAATAATAATTGATCGATGTGGAATTTTTTTCGACATTTGAAAGTGCAAAAAAATAAAGCATGTTTCATTTGAAAAAATCAACTTTTTAAGGTTTGAAGTTATTAAACCCTGGAGAAGGGAAATTTAAATTTAATATATTCTCATGTAGCATAAAGTCAGCATTGTTCATTGGAAGTAGTCCAACTTCAAAAATTTTGAAAAATCTTGAATAACTTGAAAACCTTTAGGCATAGGGAAATATGGTATCAAAGGACGTAAATTTTTATGCAGATTTCGAAAATGCTATAAAATACAAGGTGTTCTATTTAAAATAAGAAAGTTGCTATCCATATCCGGTAAAACCGGAAGTGAAAGGATCGTGATAATATTTTCTTTTGACAGATAATGAAAAACCATTTTTTTCACTACTAGCGTCTGATCACATGATTATTAACCTTTTTTCCACTTGTAAAGTAGGCTTTCTCGGCATTTGTTCAAAGTGGTTAATAATTTTTTATTATTAACTAGTAGTCAATAATGAGAACTGTCACGCTGTCACTTTTAGAAAACACAACCCGAAATTTCGCTCAATGAACGTTTAGACAAGTTCTCTAAAACGAATAATTGCCACCATTCGCAATTTCCAGAGAAATTACATACCTAAAATTATCACATTTTGAAAAAATTCGAACGAAATTACTCTTTGAAAAATCTCAATGACAGAACAAAATACGGCCTGTTTGACTTGTACTTCCACGTACTTGATTGACATGTTAAATTAAGAAACAAACAATTCTGTCCAACCGTTAACTCTCTTATCAATATAATATGTTAATTTAGAGGATTTCAAGTGCTAGTAGTGAAAAAAATAGTATATATACCACGGTAGAGAAGTCTATTATTGCCTTCGCACCTTACATCCCTCGGCGCAAGCGCCTCGAGATGTAATCTTGGTGCTCAGGCAATAATAGTGGACTTCTCTACCTTGATATATAATGTACTATTTCAGATTCAAATTATCAATGAGAGTCTGAATACTTTCAGGTGACGGTTAATGGAACACAAGATTTTTGCGTGGCAATGTATGGAAGGGTGGGGACGATTTAAATAAAATAAAAATGGTTGGCGAGGGTCAAATACGATGTCCTTTTTTTTATGCTCTTTTCGCATGCACTGTGAATGGATCATTTAGATTTAAAAAAATCAAGTTTATTTAAGGTGCGTTCTGATCACCCTTTTTGTTCTAAAGCGTTGGTTTGGTGCACCAGAAAATAGTTGACACTGTATAGTAATGTCCAAGAATGCTGTATAGGTAAAATAATAAGTTTTCCGTTGCACGTCATTAATTTTCTGACGTCGATCTTATGCAGCGTTGCCAAACATTTAGTATACTATAGAACTATTTTCAAATCATTGTATCTACTTTTTGCACATTTGACCTACTAAGCATGTAGTATCAACAATTTTAGAATCGCTTTTACGTGCCTGAAATTACCTTTAAATTGCCGCCATAAAACCACACGTTTTTTTATAGTACCCCACCCAGTACCTACTCATAATGAATCTACAACCTATACAATCTTCAAAACTGGAATCAAATAAACATTAACACAAGAAAATTATACAAAAATAAACCCACCAGACAACCTGTATACGTTACAATTCTTAACTCTATATTCAGTTGTCATGAAGTACAAGATATCTACGTGTACAGAAATGTAACGATTATCAATTGCTTACAGGCGATCGACTTTTTAATGTTGGAGATTTATGTAAGGATTAACACTTTGTAGTAGGTACATATCGGGAAGTTAAGAACCGACAGCAATTTCGATAAATTCATTAATTAACTTTTCTACATGGTTTAAAGGCTTCATGTAAATTATTTACATGTCATACTTGACCATCAAAGCCAGGGGATAGTATTTTGCAGTAATAAGTCACTTTTATGTAATTATTTTATAATCTTACAATGTAAATAAGTACAAATTACTTAATTTGCAAATTAACAAGAATCTTCTGTGTCACTCTCACTATCTTCCCCTAAATTTATTATAATTGGCAGTATATCTTGCATATCTAACATTTTTTCTCTTTCATACCATTTCATTATTTCACCTTCAGTGTGTTTGATTGAATTTTTCCGGTGTCACGACATTAACTGCTTCTTGCCACATATTTAAACAATCAACCTCTGTTCTCCCATCTCTAACAATACCTCTATGTTTATTATAAGTGCTATCCAAATTCTTCGTCATCGTAATAAATAACACTTCACAGTACGACAAAAAGTTGTTCTGAAAAGAACAGTTTGGTTTGTGGAATTGAGAAGCTTGATAAAAAGGCACGAAACTACGATAAACTAGACGTTTCGAAACACACGCAAGGTGACAGAATGGGTGACAGATAGCAACATACCCTTAAATGCATAGTACAGAGTCGCGCCAACGTCGCATTTCTGTACCAACCGTATAATTTCAAATAAACTGTTTTTAAATTATAACAACACATCCCATTTAAATATTTAGGTTGGTATGTGAAATTATTCCAGTAATGACGTGCAACGGAATATAATATATAATATGGAATAGAGTGTATTCCGCACGAGTGGAAAGTTCGTCACACGAGCCGAAGGCGAGTGTGACGGTTCCACGAGCGTTGAATACCTATTCCTTACAAGTAATAGACATAATTTTTTCTACTACTACGACGAATTTTTGCAAAATATGTATAAAACAAGCAGGGTTAACGATAGACAATTCACACATTAGTAGGTACGTCTATGTACGGTGGGTTGGTATAGCAGATCCCTGTGGCATATTTGACAGATTCTAAATGGCTGTATAAACAATTTTCTCGACAATTTCTCTTCGCTCATTATTATCCCAGAAAAGGGATACTAACTTTTCTGTGATATTAATTACAAATGTGCACATTTGTTGAATGTGTCCTGTCCTGCGCAGTGTATGAATCGGCGTGGATCATTTAGATTTAGATAAACGTAAACGATAAACGTATTCGATGTGTGCGACCGGTATGTAATTCATGATGTGCATTCAAATACAAAATGCTACAAAGAGGACGTTATGGATGCAAATCAGAAATAAACTCGAAAAAGTTGTATGTAAGTATCTACCGAGTGTAGGTAACATTTTAGTGAGCATTATATTTTAGGTTAGTTTTAAAACTTCCTGGAGGAAATGTGTTCTGGATGACCAACAATGTTAACTGTTTGGATCTGGATGTTCTTTTTGTATAGTGCAGTGAGGTATATTAATTCATTGTAGCAATATGCAACTTGATGTTTGGTTGTAGGTATACCAACGTGGGTCCCCCGTAATTGTAAACTTTCATTGTACGTTAGTTTTACGTATTGGGTATTCTAATTACAGTTCTACAGTTCCACCTAAGTCTTGTATGTGGTCGATTTTTATGTTCCACGAACACGATTCGTGCTTACGACAAGCACCACTAATGCCAACTATAAGAGCAACCTTTAAATGTAAAATAGATATGATGTAACGAGTAACGATTTGAATGTGTAATGTTATAGTAGATATAAACTGTCGAGGGGGCTTTTTGAATAAACATTTTTACTTTGCTCGTTGATAGAATTTTTGAGCCGCTGGATTGCATTTTTAAGGCCTGCAACTTAGCATGCATAGCTGCTTATATCTACATAAATTGTTCAAAAGTATCGTAGACCTCACCATGGAATACGTTTTCCACAATGTGAATGCTTTAATTTCCTGTGATAGTTCGCTAAAGTAAATTAGCACTACGTTCTCTGAAAATGAGTTGGTTTGTTCTTGATCCTCCACTCCAAAAATTTGCTGTATGTATTTTCCTACACTTTTGGTTTGTCAGGAAGTAAATTTTTTTGCGTGTTCTGCTTCCGCGGTGATTTCCGGGGGAGTATTTGAAAGTTCCATTAAATCCTCACTGGCCACTGCTATTCATTTTCGTGCTACCGGCCCTTAAAATTCAAAATCTGCCGCAAGCGTAATTAAAATTTTGACAGTTTAAGAATTGTGCTTTAGGATGTCCTGTATTAGATGTCGCCACATGTGCTCATTCCATCACAAGAGCTTGAATGAAATTATTCCACTTTACTAGCAGAGAATAGGCGATATTCTGTTGTTCAAAATGAAGCAAGTATGACGTCATTCTAAGGTAGTAGTAGAAAAAACTTATTATTTTACCTATACAATCACAGCCGTCTATAATTACAAGCCGTGCTGAGAATTATGGCAACACTGCATGGTAGGCCGATTTCCTAATTCAACTTGACAGATTTCAGGTGTATTTTATGTGTGTTTTGGGTGTAATATTCCTTTTTACCTGTTTTAACAGAGCGAGATTGCGACAATTTGTGTTACTCTGTACGGAATGAACAGAAATTATTATTCAGGTTAAGTTGCTAAACGAAATATATCGATTTATTGTCATAACCTCTAAAGCAGGCTACTCCTTAGTGGACCTTTTACAAGCACTTGTATTTGTTCAAAGTACCTGTACAAACTCAAATATGACCTACACACTACGTGGTACGTAAATACGGTAAGTGTTTATCGTGAAAGAATACAATAATTATTTTATTAGTGTTGGTATTTCAGATATTCTAGCACGGACATGTCAAGTCGATTTTCTGAAGGAACCTTCCGACTTATTCCCAGGAGTTCACGGTACGGGAATTTGAAGTCTACGGGGCTCCCCTCTTTAAAAACTTCGTACCTAGACCTACTGGAGTACCGACTGGCTTAAAATCTGCCATTCCGAATCACACCTGGTCATTGATAAAACCTCGCTGATGCACATCGATTTACTGTCCTTTTGCCGAAATTAAGTGCCCAAGCATGTGCTTCACCTCGACCTCTTTCGACAGAAGTTCACCAATTTCGAAGATCTCGATGGAAAACACATTATGATGCAGTTACCAATTTACAGCGTTCCGAATTTTAACGTCAAATAAAAATGTTATTATCCATTTTTGTAAATAAATTAAATATATGTACAATTGTAAGCTGCTTAAGTATCTTTCTTCTGTATTAAAACCACCAAGGCGAAACACAGGAGAGAGGAAAATGCAATTTTTCAAGAGCAACAAGACTATTAAAATTATATCGCCCCACCGATTGACTTTCGGACAACGTTGCCAAACTTCTCACCATGGCTTCTAATTATAGACGGCTGTGGTACAATACAGCATCCTAGGTATCTGTCAATGTTATTGTGTAGCAAATTCCCCTATACTGAAGGAAGAGTGTTCAATACTGCACAACAATCCACTTTGAATAATGGGTTGTTTATAACTTTTTGTAGTCAAACTTGAGCGGTCTACTAAATATTTTTTTGTGCTTCCGTCTCTAGTTATATGCATGACTGACAACGTCAAATGTAAGGCTCCAACTACATTAGAGTACTGGTTGCTATTAACAGCAGACATTACAATCTTGTTACTTACATGCCGAGGAAAATAATGACTTATCTGTCACATTTGACATTTGCACAATAATTCATCTCCCGCAATTCCCTTAATAACGCGAAAAATGTAATAAGCAACATGGAATGTAGTTGCTTATTAAATAAATATTAATACCCCTCTGTATTTTTGTAATGAATAGTATTCCCGTTTATTAAAAATCCCCAGTTGAATTTATTCCATGGGAACGTACAGTTTTGAGAATACCCTATCCAATGACCTCACCTCGCTCGCTTGCTCAATGTCCACTGTTCAATGTTACCTTTTGTGCTGGAGTTGGTATTGTGTAGTAAGATGTTATTAGGTGTATAAACTGATTTCACAATTAAGAAAAAGTTTAATAGAAATTTGAGCTTCCATCTTGCGTAAAGTGCTTTCCGAGCTTAAAATAAGTGCAAATTATAAAAATAGTTGTGATGTAGTACTCTTGATCTACAACAGTGTAAAAATTCCTTTCCTTAGTTTTTGTTTTGTGAATGTGCACTCCTACTGGATCAATAGTGTAGTACTACAAATATAAAATTTATTCCACTTGCTCAATAGGGAGTTTGTGTGTGTGTGTGTGCGCCTATGAGCCAAGGTTATTTGTGTTTAAAGCTGTTGATTACCTTTTTTCAACAAAGGTTTATTTTAGGAAGGTTTATGATGAATTCCAACAATCATGGCCCGCCTCGAAGAAATTCTTCGTCCTTCAATCGGCACACTAATAATCATCACTCCACTCGTGCAACTCACGGGCACAGATGGCCGAATCGGTATACAAAAGAATTTGGAAGAGATTATGATAACAATTTTAACAGAGGGTAATGTCAAGGCTAAAAATATACTACCCGCAATTATTATCTAAAAGGTTATGTCATCTTTCAGAGAGTGTTCCGTCAATAACACCCTGCCAAAGGAACAAAATTATGTGCATCCCAAATCGCAACTTAGCCCACCAATTCGTAATAATCACGTGCATTTTGTTGGAAACGAACCTTCGGGTGAGTTGCATTTTTACTTTTTCACTTTCATTGCGGCATCTAGTGCATTGGTCTATCTACATGCTAATTTGCTAATTAATTTGTTATTGGATGTATAATTTTGGTGACAAATGCAATCAACTACTAAGTATTTTAAAAACGATTTGTGACTAATAAGTATAGGCCCCATACACTCTGCATATGTTAACAATGACAAGATTATTATCATTGAAGTACTAATTGTTGATTAATTATCAGTTCATCAAGATCGTCGTCACATGCCTAACTCCATGGATCGTAGAATAAACCAAGGGTATCAACAGAATGGTGAAAGGAGGCATCATTTAGGTCTGTCGGATAGAAGACACATATCCCCGCCTTTACATATAAATGTTTGTGAAAATTCTTCACCGATTTTGAATGGTTCACAAAATGAGGGCTTACAAAGAACTCTTATAGATTTTTCAAATTCACAAAGAAGACATGGACGTGGTATGTATTCGTTGTTTTGTAGTTATATAATCGCTAGGGATAAATCCATTTTATAAGCAACATGTTTTTCATTCTATTCAAATTCACTTCAAAATCATTTATTTAATATGTGTTTGTTGTGCTTATTATAGGATTGCAATTGTTCTTTAAGTGGTTATGTTGAAAATCAATTAAGACACAATTGAATGCTGAAATAATGTGGTAAGTCTCTTGTAAGCATCAAGTTCACAACCAGTCTTGAAACAGAATCAGAGATTGGGATAATGAGACTTATGGTACTGGTTGATACTGGGCCGAATTATTTTACTCACTGGTCCACTTCAGCGTCACAATGATGACGTCTTGTTTGTAATTCCTTTAAAACAGTTTTCTCTGGTTTATTTTATATTCATTTTATACAGGGTGTTCCAGGTAAAAGTAACTATATGAGGATTTCGGAAACGGTAAGACATATAATTTGGTTAAATGAGAGAAAGATGTTATTCTGAGCCCAATTGTATCCTGTATAAAAATTTAAAATATTTACAGGGGTTTTCAAAATATCGAACAAAAGCAAAAATTGTGTTTTTTGAAAAATTGAAATGTTGACATCTTGTAACCAAATTTAATAGTTTTGTTTAGCGACTACAGCCAATTGAATGATGTCTAGACCTAGGTTTTTTTGGAACCATAGCCAACTTATTATTCCTTATGGCCGCTATATTGGATGGATTGATAAATAAGAGGCTGTTCAACCATGTATAACAAGCCAATTTTTGGTTGATGAATAATGTAAATTTATCAAAAAACATTGTTTTTTAACTTACTTAGCTGTAAAACAAATGCTGTAATCGTGTTTGTTGTAATTATTGGTCAAAACTTGTTATTTATTAAGAAGACCTTTATTTTCTAACTTTATGGTAAAAAAATAATTCTTAAAAATTATATTTTATTAGAGATACCTAAAGTTAATGATGCCCTATATCCAATAGGGCGGAAATAAGAAATAACAAAGTTGGCTATGATTGCAAAAAAAAACTCTAGAAAAAACTATAAGGTTTAGAAAAAAAAATTAAATTTATTTTCAAAATAGCTACAATATTTCAATCTTTGGAAAAATGCAATTTTTAGTTTTTGTTCAATAACTAATTTGAAAATCCTTGTAGGTAGATAATAATTTATAATTGGGCTCAGAATAGCATAATTCGAGGCATAATTTTTTCCCATTTTACCAAAATTTTCGTTTTCGAAATCCCTATATAGTAACTTTCTATCTGAGACACCCTGTATTTCTATTTATAAGTATTTTTGAAGCAGTTTCTATTCCAATTTTTCGTATTTTTTGAAGATTAAGTCAATGATGTTCATTTTTGAAACACAGGCGTGAAACTATCATCCAAAATCTATCCGATAAAGGATAACTCTGTCGCTTTTCTTAATTAGTCATAAACATCAATTTGATTCGTTTTAGTATATTTATCTGGCAGTGTCACACTCGGAGCAATAAATAAAAAAGGACGCATTTGTTATAATAACTCAAAACGTTTGTTTTGCAGTCTGTTTTGCATCAACATAACCCCAAAGTTTGACAGTGAGAGGACGAAAGGTATAAACAACATTAGTAAGTAACTGCACTAATACCACAAACAGTACACTCTTTCCCAATTTCAAAGGGTGCAGGTAAATTATTAATAATAATAATGGCGTTGTGACACACTGATCATCATAAATTTTCTTATTAAGTTGTTTAATTTCAACTTATAATTGTTTGTTCTTGATAACTCATCTAAGTAAATATTTAGAAATCCATTTATTCCAAATATATGTATGTATTGTTGGCCTGTGTGACGCAATTGAGTTGATACTATTCAACGGTACTAAGTGTCCTGGTTCGAATCCGAGTTCGGGCATGGATATTTGTAAATGTATAGGGGTTGGATTGGTAGAGCAGCCTTCGCTGAAACTCCGCTCACTCGAAAATAAAGGTAAAACTGTCCGTTTGTTCCCCATCTAACGAGAACGAAAAGATATAGCGATGTCAAAGTTCCGTGAATCGATTTCTACAAGTTCAAGGATCAGTGCTATTGAATATGAGCCGGATTAAAAGTCTGGTTTCCAAATACGAGCTGACTGGCAAAAAATTTCCCTACTGAAAATCGTATGCGATTCTTCGTATCTTTTTCATTCTTATTTCTTAGTATCGGTTTAATTGGGACATAATGAATTTAGCATATGACACTGTCAGATCAACGTACTAAAAGGAATCAAATTAATTTTTATAAGTGTAACTGAGAAGTCAACCAACACTGGATGAAAAAAGTAGCAGAGAAATTATTTTGCAGATAGCTCTTGGGTTATTACGGAAATTACTGAACGGTTTAGCATGTTGAATCAATGTTAATTCACTATCATTAATGAAATGTAAAATTTAATTATAATCTATTTTTTCAATTGTATAGTGTATAGAATGCAGGCAGACAACTTGCAATAAAGGACATCTGATTCGTCCGCCATATTGGAGTCAGACCTAAAGCAAAATTTAAATGAAGAAGGATGTAAGGCAAAATAGTACTTTTTGAAAAAATCGATTAACAGATATATAGGACACCTCAGATCTAGTGGGAGAAATAGCAATTAGGTTAAACGGTCGAAAGTTTTGCAGCTTTGTCTGCTGTTTAAAGCGTTGTGATGATATGCAAATATCTGTAACCGCCACCTTGAATTTCATTTTGATATCATTTTTGAGTTTGTTCTGTAGCAGTGAAAACATTTTTTTAAATAACTTTTGTAGTTATGGAGATATGTAGTTAGTTTTTTTGTTTTTAAAAATAATTTATAAACAGACTTGGTTTTTTGAATATTCTAAACGAAATTTTAGTAAGCACACAAAACTGCCGAATTTATCTTAATCGTTATCTTCAGCAATTACAAACTTTTCTAACGATTTCCATTTAGTATTGGTAGGTACCTAGTAAAAGCTATTCAGTGAGAGTTAAAAGGTTGTGTTCTTTATATAGTTGCTATAGAATGAATAAAAGACTTTTGACACTTCTGTAATTGACATGTTTACATTTGAAGTAAGCAGGTAGTCAAGAAGACCCATGTGTTACCAAAACTTCCCTTGAGGGGTATAATTGGTAGGCTTCAAATTTGTATGCACTTTAAAACATTAAACAAATTAAAACACTTAAAAAAAAACCACTTGTCGTCAACCTCGTCATCAACAGAACACAGAATCTGTACTAAAAAGCTAAAAATAAAATGTTTGTTGAAAAAGTGTTGGGATTTTAAGAATAGATTGAGAAATATCTATATTGAAAAGATTCTAACACTTTTTCAACGAACATTTTATTTTTGACGTTTTCTATTCTGGTGATGAAATGTTTTTTTTATTCTTTTTATTTTTTGCATTTTTAGTATTTTTTATTCTGTCACTCAAAAGGGAAATAGTATATTAAAACATAAGTTGCAGAAGGTCGCCTATTTTAGCACAAGTTCAAGTTTCGAACCTGAGTCGCCCTTCTTTTACAATTTTACAATAGATTAGCCTGTGCAACAACATTGGTGAATTTTATCTTCCTCATAATCATGAATTTACATTGATATTTAAAATATCGTGCCACCATGTTTCACGAAAATGAATATTTTTTTTTACCTATGACTGTTGTGTAACGAAACTCAACATTCACCACCGAGGACTCACGGTACGAAGAACATGGGTAGAGCTCAGGTGCCTGTCATTTTGGCCAGGAAATAACCTGTCTCATTGTAATAATATATAGGGGTATGTTCAGGGTTTGTGTTCTGTTGGGCTAGGACATGACCTGTCTCATCGTAATATAGAGTTAGGGGTTCGAGATCCATTCCATAACAGTTTTCATACAACATATTCAGGATGAAAAATATCACATTTGGTACATATGCAAAATAAGATGGTGGAAAAATACCAATATGTGCAAACAATAAGTATATTATACCCCCACATAAAACAAACAAAACCCTCGACCGTTCTGCCCCCTCAGGCGAAACGTCCCCACGCGACCAATAGCCTTGCGCAATTTGAACTATGCACTTCCCGTGAAAACATTTCCAGTGGCGTAGCGTGCGTTTTTCTACTTTAATGAAATGCACAAAAGCGGAAATGATTCAAATTTCAAAACTGCCAGGATATGTTACATAATAATAATAATAATAATAACGGCTTTATTTAGGCGGGGTGTCAGCCAAAGGCTGCTATTAATCCCAACCTTGATACAAAAAAAAGTACAGAAACATGATGGAGTATTTAAAACAATTTATGGTAATTTATAAGGTGAGAACAAGTAAGCATACAAGTAAAGCAAAAAAAAAAAAAATAATAAAAATAAAAAATATATGATTCAGTGATAAAGAAGTACTCTAAGGTGTTTTTTGAAACCGTTTGGACTTAATAATTTAAGAAAGTTCGGAACGTTATTGTAAATGAGTGGTGCAAAATAAGTAAATGCACCATGAAACTGGGTTTTATGGTGCTTTGGTATGTCAAGAAAGAATGGGTTACGGAGATTACGATCGTGAATACTACTTCGAAATTTTAACTTATTATACAAATATAAAGGTTCACCAGATACTAATATTTTGTGAACCAGACATGCAAGATGTAAATGACGTCTTTCGCCCATCACAGGTTCTTACTTGGACTAACCAGAATCTATATGCCAAGTTTTAAGACCATCCATACGTTCGGTTTGAGAGTGTGCACACTGCACAGTTATCTTAGAGATAGTTACCTTATTTATCGATGACACTCTGCCACTTTACTTTTGAAATTCTCCCATGCTTGTTGATGGGCTTTGGAGCAGAGTACTTTCAAGTTCAGTGGTGTCATTTTACTGACGAGTTTTGTATTACATTTTTCCTGAAATTGCCTTTTTTTAATGTAAAATATAATATAAAATTCCGATTGTCATACAGAATTAAGCGCGATTCATACTATACATACAGACACCGTCACGTCACCGTACTGGTAACGTAAAACATAAAATGTTCTTGATGTGACGGTGTAGTCTGAATATGTCTATAGCTTTCAATGTAAGGATATTTGAAGGTGCAGTGACGAAACGGTGACGGAGCAGTGTCTGTACGTATATACGGTATTCATTTTAAGAAGGTAGCGGTAGAAAGCATAGGGACAGTTTGACCTTCACTGTGATTGGTTAAAACACGAGTCAGTATTTCTCTGAAAAATAAAACGAGTGACGAATTCTGTCTTTTAGAAGTTTCAGTTACGAACTAAACTGTTGAATTGTCATTAGCTGTCAATTTCAAAGATCCAAGCGTGATATCGTTTGATTTATATGTATATTTTTCAAATTTTGTGCCGTTTTATATTTTTCCTGTGTGTGTCGATCTTCAAACACAGCGCCATCTACTACCTTCTTATAATGAATGCAGTATAGTATGAATCGCGCTTTAATATGAATGTGTCGGTGATGAAAGGAGTAATCAGACATTACCAATGTGACAGGCGGCAGGAAAAGTAGTAAGAAAAAGTGTTACCGCCACTGTCATTGAAACTAAAATTTTCTGAGTTAAAGTAGGCATTAAATTGATAGTCTTAAGCCTAGTTCTCATGGCGTCCGACGTTCGACGGCTTAAGAGCTAGTCAGAAGGTCGTATTCTGTGAGCGAGTCTGCATTCATTATAAGAAGGTAGTAGATGGCGCTGAGTGTGGCACCAAATGATTGTAAAGTAGACATATCCAAAACTGCGAATAGAAATATTACGCTTGGATCTTTGAAATTAACAGCTAATGACAGTTCAACAGTTTAGCTGGCAACAGAACCTAGCAGCTTACAAAATTCGTCGCTCCTTTTTTTCAGCATAATACTGACCCGTGTTTTAACAAATCACAGTGAAGGTTGAAGTTTCCATATGCTTCTTTCTTAAAATAAACAGATATATACTGTATTCATTTTAAGAAGATAGCGCTAGAACGCATATGGAAGCTTTGACCTTCACTGTGATTGGATAAAGCACGAGTCAGTGTTACGCTGAAACATAAAACGACTGGCGAATTTTGTAAGCTGGTAGTTTATGTTGCCAATTAAATTGACGAAGTGTCATTGGCTGTTAATGTCAAACATTTATTTCTGTTCGCAGTGCTGGATATTTCTACTTTACAATAATTTGGTGCCGTTTTATGTTTTTACTGTGTGTATTTATCTTCAAACATAGCGCCATCTACTACCTTTTTATAATGAATGCATTTTTATGATTGATGATATTAGGATATAAGGTAGTTACGTCATTACGTGTATGGTAATAACATATCCGAGCGTCTCTCAGCAATTTCGCGGATGATGCGGCGGTGATAGGCGGTCGAAAAGGTTTAAAAATTGGAAAATTCAAACAGTTTTATTATTAATGAATTTTTTTATGCATTAGTTTTTAAATTACATTCGTTGATTTGGCGGACCCACAATCCTCTTCGTATGTGTTGCTGTGAAAGCTTTTTTTGTCATTATTGTATGTATAAAAAAATATGCGCGCGTCCGGGTTTCGAGCCCACGACGTCGCATTCAAAGTCGGCGATGTAGTCATGTGAACCCATCGGATGGCAATGATATAAATAAAATAAACCAAGGTTCAATAATAAAACTGTTTGAATTTTCAAAATCTTCGCACACCCACCACCGCCGCGCCATATGCGAAATTGCTGGCAGGCGCTCGGATATGTTATTAGCATATACAAAACTACCTTATATCCAAATATAATCCAAATAAAAAAATTATATAATCCATGAACTTTTAAAAAACTCTTTTTTCTAAATATTTTGTGACATTTTATTTACTCATAACTTGTACTTATGTCATGATTTGTTTATATTATTTTTATTGATTTTTTAAAAAATGTATTGCCATGATATCTTTTTAGAAGTTCGCGTAAGTCCAGTGCACTTTCAACAGCACTCCCCTCAGTTCTATAGGCAAAATAGTGATGAAAGTATTAAAAGTGAAAGTCCGTCCCGTAAACGAAGACGCTTATCACGATCGGGTCATCACATTGAGCTAAATACGCAACCTGCATCTCCACCAAGAAGATCTCCTAGACAGCACCATCTATCAGCTTCCCATCACAATCTTCAGGTAACGTGCTACTCGTCTAAAATGATGAAAGCAATAGACTAACCACATTTTTCTTTTAGCCCTTTCATATGCAAGGAAGTCCTCCAATTCGTCGTCCCCGTTATAGAGACAGAAATGATTTCCAACACCCTCATCATCAACCTTTCTTACCCAGTCCCCCACCTACGACGCATCCCCATCCTCATCAGTCAACGGTAATGATGGATCTAAACCAGGTGACTTCTAGTATTTAATTTGGAATTACTCAGTATTTTGTTTAGGTATCGGTGCCCATACCTGTCAACCATGAAGCAGTCTGGAGTTATACACCGCCTCATATTTCACTTTGCTCAGCTCCGCCTGGTGCTCCACCTCACATGCACAGCTGCCACGTACATAACATTTACCCGCCTCCCCATCAATTAATACCTCAACAGTATCCCAATTGTTTCCCACCTCAGGGATATGGAGGATTTACGAATACTCCTAATGCGTTACCTGTTTCAAATCAACATTATCCGCATTCACATCAACATTTACCCCCACAGGTAAGTTCTTTTACTCAAATTGTTGTTTGGACCCTTACGCCTTAATTAATACTAACAGAATCGTCAATTATTTTGCCGTTAAATAATTAAAGACGATTTTAGGGTTTTGCGGATCTATGTTTATATGAACTTTTAGTCATAAAATATGCCAAAGAATTAGCCTCTACTGTATTTACATCATATTTAGGACCACCCTGCAAAACACTATGCGTCACCTGGTATCCTTGAAACAGAAATGAAGTTTTGACATTTTCTTAATATTCACATGCAACTCTCTTCCTTTACCCTGATGTGATAAAATAGGAAAAATGAATAAATAATGATAGTGTATTATGCATCAAATGCTAAACTATTTTTCAAAGAATTTTAAGTGATTGTCTGAGAAAAATGACCTTTTGACGAGGTTCGTATACGATTTTATTCACGATCATCATTGTAATCATTTTCTTAACAAACATTAAATAATGTTAAGCGCCATCTGTAACATTGCCCTAGTTAAACTGTTTGTCGATAATACAGATTTGGATATTACCTATAATTAATATTGAAAGTTTGAAAATTTTAGGTTTAAAAATGTCCCATCCCATAGTGAAGAATTTCAATCTACGCCCTCTGAAGTAAGGGAAAGTGCAGTACAAAATTTACTCCTTGAAAAAAGCATAAAACCCACATATTTTTGATGTGTATAAAGAGTGATGCGCAGGAAAGGGTATAGATGCTTATTTTAATGAGCTGAGAAGCCGTCAACGTCAACATGATCAACATTAAATATTAATTATTGTGTCAGTTTTATCCCCCCTAATACTAAAACGTATAGCGATCTTTTTGGGTTACAGGTGTAAATTGGGTGACAATAGTGTGACAGTATTATAATCGGTGTAAAGATGTCAATAATGAAAGATTTGTTTTCCAAATGCAGTTAGGTAAAGTGACTAAACAGCCATTAGGTGTAATACTATAGCAATCCTTAAAAAATATTATCCGTCAAAGATAAAGTCAATTTCTACTCCCCCCCCCCCCCCCCCCCCCCCTCTGATCTCGAAAAGGAGTCGCACAGAAAAGTTATAGTTTGTACAAAACAATTCATTTGAATGACACCTTCCATTAGAATAGAACATTAGAATTGATTAGTTTAGTAACGCTTCCTTAAAAACGACTTACTTCAGGCACCTTAGCACACGCGTTGAGACTGTACCCTCTTTCTTCGCAGAAAAGTTGAAATTGTGCCCATACTGAAATCTCGGACCATTTTCAGCACACCGAAATAAGAAAAATACAACGTTTTACAATGCTTGTTAATTTTGTTTATTAGCCTTTTATTATCATGGCAACTACATTACTTGTATATAATTTGTATATAATACCTTTGTATTCTTTAATTTTCTCGTTGAATTGTCTAGTCAAATACATCTTGAGATCCGAAAATTTTGCTTTAGAAAATCGACACGATTTTCGTCGCATCAAATACTGGTATCTGCAGTATGCAAAAATTACCAACAATTTTCGAATCTCTTGTTGCATTATATATGATTATTATTGCTTTCTGCCATAATTGAGAATCCCAATAAACTATAATAATTCTCATGATGAAATAACCCAACACATACCCAGGCAGGAATTTCACTTTACCACTGAGGAATCTAAACAGTAATGATCACTCCAATCTAACAATTAATTTCATTAACTCAAGTTTGAGTTTTATATAACGTGTCCAGTGGAAGTTTTTCAACTTCAAAAATCAATGTAAAAAAAAACTACATGGTTTTTACTTATTTTTATTTCAATAAAGTATAGCATTATAAAGCGGATGTCAAACAGTTGCGAGCGCCATCCATTAGTATATCAGCAACTAAAATGAGGTTAGTAATGAAATATTACTAACCTTGAGAATCTACTTCACTCCCTCCTGGAGAAACAAGTGTTGTAATATGTAACTTTCTCATCCTTTAAAATGACAATTATGAGACAGTATGATCGTGAATAAAAGAATTTTTTGTTTGCCATTCTAATTTGGGCCCAGTGGTGTAGCGAAGGGAGGGGGGCGGAGTTATCTACGTTGCGCCACTGTTTGAACCATTATCTTACATCCCGCCACTTTTAGAAGTATAATTAAATGTTGGGAGATTTTTGCAGAAAGTTCTCATCAAGGGAGCCACGATTCTGCCTTGGTTTTACTTGTTTTTTTGAGTTGAGGTACGTTTTTTCGACTCATTTTTTATGAAGAAAATGTCAGTTATGTTTAACAAGTTGTATTAAAATGTCTCAATATGGTTTGTTTGTAGCTAACGATGGACAAATTGCTAATTTGCTGAATGAAAATTTAAATATCATATTCCCTTCAGATAAAAATTGTCACATCTAAAACTACCTTGTTTGAATATCAGGAAATAAATTCGATTTGTTGTACATACTATTAAACACGTCTGAGGAAGGAACTCTAACTTATTTTTATTTTTTCCAGCGACCAGATTCATTAGAAATGGAACTATTAAATGACCACCACCCCCACACTCATACAAGTTTACATCCCACTCCATCTCTTCATGTCCCCTCCTTACAAATGTCTCCGCCTGCGTCAATATTTATGCCAGCTGACTCTCGTGGTAACCAACTCGAGCTTCTTCATATGCGCACTCGGCAGCATCGCAATGCAAGATTACCTCCGCCACGAACACGTTGGCATCATAATGGTCCATTGATGCCTACAACTGCACAGTATTCGGGCTTCCTTTTACATTTTCTGTAAGTAATTTGTTATAGGAACGCTGTATGGCCCATCATTTCGTTTTAGTCATTTATTGATGGACAAAAACCAAGCAGATTAAAATAAATTTTTGGAAAGGTTAATTGATTGAATGTTATTATACCTACATATTATTATTATTTCTGTCTAATTTACTCAGTGTATCAACCAGGGCAATGTTTTCCAACCCGCCGATGTCTCCATTCAGTCAAACAGATCTAAGCAGTTCCGATTCGACAGAGACAGAAAATTATGAAGCGTTGCTCAATTTGGCAGAGCGATTGGGCGAGGCCAAACCACGTGGCTTGGGAAAATTGGAAATTGAACAGCTTGTTAGTTACAAATTTAACGCTGACACCCATCAAGGCGATCAAACGTCGTGCGTTGTTTGTATGTGCGATTTTGAAGCTCGTCAACTGCTTCGTGTATTGCCATGCTCACATGAATTCCATGCTAAATGCATTGATAAATGGTTGCGGGTATGTATTTTTTTATCTTAATCTTTTGAATGTTTATACTTATTTAGAATTGTATTGAGTGGGTACATTGTTCAACTTCTGATATATTTATAGATTTTATGTTTGGGGTTGAAGTTCTGTTTGCCAAAATGTTTAACGTTTGTGGAAAAGGGTGTTGGGTGTTGTTGCATTACCGTTAGGTAATTCCGGATTAATTTGCTATATGCCATAAAGCCATAAAGAATTTGATTGGGCTCAAAGGACCAATGACTTTTAACTGTGTGATCTACGGGCGTCCTAAAAATCTGTAATTGGTCTTAAGATTTAAATTAAGACTGCTTCTTTTGAGGCCTCATGTCTTAATCGGATGCTATTTTCTGCATCTCATTTAATCATCTATCGGTAATTACATTTGCCTAATTTGCCGAATAATATTTCTAAATTCATCATTTAATTAACACCCATCTTTTGGAATTTCTAAGGTCGACCAAAGGTCTCTTATCAAACTGATACCAGAGTAAATTTGCATGGCCTTGCAGCGTTAATGCACATTTTAAAATTAACATAAGAAATTAAAACCGTCTAATAAGACTTGACAGAGCTGAAATTCTAAATTCGCCTCATCTTCTGAATGACAAGAGCTTTTGGATGCAATAAAAAGAAAGGCAAATGAAATATCTTGACGTGAATGGTTGCAAACGGCGAATTAATTACAGCTTTTGTTTGCCGTAACGGCGTGTGAAACTCTAGAAATTAAATAAATTACTTTTACCTTCTACCTTTACCTCCTAGAACCAACATAAATACTGGGTGTTCACGTACCAGGTGGTCATGAAAGTATTGCAAACTTCAAGGCGGAAAATAGGTGCTTTGTTACAATTTATGACATTGGTTTACAAGAGGCGATGGTGTTTAAATTTTTTGAAAAAACAAATTTTAGTTTTTACTCGATTTTAAAAAACCCCTGTAGATATTTATTAAGTTCACTACAGTTTAACTGTAGGAATAGCGCAACTCTTTTCCCATTTAACTAAAATTCTATCTTTTTACCGTCTCTCAAATCCCCATGTTACTAAATGTAGTAACCTTTATCTAAAAATCTATAAAAAAAGGGTAAAAGATGCAGTTTTGGTTAAATTAAAAGTTCTGGGGCATTGGGTAAAAAGTAACATTTCTGTTTTTTTTAATAGAAACATTGTCGCCATTATGAAATTTGGTAGTTTCATATTAGTGACTGCGCCCATTCGAATGACGTTAACGAATTTTTTTAGGCCTTTTGGCAAGTGAAATCTATAAATATCCATGTAGTTACTTTTATCTGGGACACCTTGTATCGTCTCTGCTTGCATTTCACCTCAATCCTTTCTCATTTACTTTATACTGTACAAAAAGTTGAATTCAGCAAATTGAATACACATTCAAGAATTTGGATTGTGTATGTGTAACACGTAACTAATCCATGTTGATTACTTACTTTGCTAAAACTAGCAATTTGAAACGCAAATCATAGCACCAGTTACCACAATGTTAAGGTGGTGGATCTTCTAATTTACTTGTTTCTGGATATCCATCCTATAGCTTCCATAGCTTAACACTCGAAATTATAATATCTATAATAGCCCACTTTGTTTTTATACAGTTGAAATATTACAGATGTCATAGCATAGTGGATTGTTTTCAATAGTTTGCAATATTCGTATATAAAAGAAACGCTCGTGCAAATATATGTGTTTATTTTGTAGCTTTGGTGGCGAAAGGTAGTCAACACGAGACGATGGCCTCTCTTATCAACCTCTTTAAATCCAGATCGAGCTGAAGTGAATTTTAATTTTATCTTTTGTTAACAGTCCAACAGAACATGCCCAATATGTCGTGGGAACGCCTCAGAATATTTCAACAATGCGGAGTAGTGCGGCCACAAGGAAATTTAGTAATACTATACTTGGTAGCTGTAAATTTATTACAATATTAATTCTACAAATCTTAAGAGTTTTGTGCAGTGCCATTAGTTGCCAGTAATAGCTTTAAATTGTCGCCAATAAATGTTTCAATGGTTTTCTTTTTATCTTAATAATAGTCATTATGGTAGATAATTAAGCTTTGTACTTGGTTTTATAAATAATTGCAACACATTTCGTGCGTCAATGTGCACCCGTACTTTTTAAGTGTATCTACCTCCAAAGGCGTTACATTAGCTTTACACCAACTTTATTTTAAGACTAATAAGTGTGCTTGGATGTTCTAATTAAAAAAGTTGGTATGAAATTGTTTTGTTTTATTTTTTATTTGGTGAATGTGTAATGCTTGCCCTTTCCGCATTATTAGTGTGAATGTATTTGTTATGGATTGTTATTAGTTTTAATTATTTGATTCTCCTTATTGTTAATCAATTATTGTTATCGGTATTGCAGATTAGGTCTATTGAGTTACTATTCCATTCAGATAACGGAAACTAGCCTGGAAATGTCAATGAATTATAAGTGCAGTAGTAACTCATTTTCAATGTTAGCAATTGAAATATGTGTTAACTGCCAATAGTTACACTCTATTTTTTAAACTAAAGTTAGGTTTATTTGCTTTGTAATTAGCATACTTTCTGTTGTATATTATTTACACTAAATGTTTACCTAACGTAATGCGTTTCTAGATTTTCCAATTAGTCTGTCTCATCCATCCGTACACAACTTTTTCCCAAATACAAATCGTATTTTAAATATAAATACTTATATATGTATACAGAAAGTATTTTAAATTGAATTTAATGAATGTAATAGGTGTGCCTTTGTAGTGTACAATTCATTATTAAAGAGTGTACTATTTCAGTTTTGCTATAAGCAAATAGTCAAAAATCTATTTTCTATTCATTGCCTCACTTAATTGAAGAAGCTCTTATAAACAATGAAGTTGTACAATTTCAAATGCTTTTATTCGAAATTGTTCTTTGGTGTTTATGAAATAAGTTTTGCTCCAAAGGGTAAATCAATAATAATGAGATTTTCACTAGTTTATTATACAATTACAAAAACACCAAAAAAAGTGTGCAATGTACAAAATGGCCTTGTATTTGCTTATTGTTTTTTGTCTGTGTACCTCTACCTTAATGTCAACTACTCAAAAATTGTTTTTATTTGGAATTTAAAATTTTGTTTAATGCAAATTTGTTACAAATGTTATTATCCTTGCCATTGTTAATTGTCATTTGACATATCTACAGTCACAAAGTGCAATATAACACGTAACATTAATGTTTTCATCAGAAATAGCAATATTAACTCTTAAGACATTCACTTTAGTAATTGCAGCAGTAATCAAACTTTACAGTGTATTTTGTGTATGTGAACACCTACGTGATACTTTTTGCTTTTAGTGAAATTTAATATTTATGTATTTATAGGAGCTTGTAGTGCTATAAACTAGTTCTTATTTCAAATAAAATGTTCAACACAACTTTTGACACATTGACCATAGAGAACCAACTGTAATTGCAACATTGGGCATTATTATTATTATTGTTACTTGGAACCATATACATTGTACCCAAGATAAGAATGTCAGGATTTCGGAAATCATAGAAGATACAACCATGGTCAAATTAAAGAAAAGTTGCGCAACTAAAGTTATTATCATGTTTTAAAAAAAACTGAAAAATTCCGATTCAGAAAATAGAAAAACGGAAATTTGCCGTTTTCGTTTTTATTTTTTCCTGGTATTTGCGCAGTTGCAGAAAAATAAGAAAAAACTTTCTCATTGCCACTTTTTGAATTTTACAAGACAGCGTTGAAAGATTTTTAATATAACGTTTTGTGTCGAAGAAATCATCGTCAACTTACTTTATTAAGTCCGGTAAAAAAAATACAGACTGTATTTAGTAGCATTTTGTACTACAAATACAATGATATATGACACACACACACAAAACAACAGTTTGAAACTATTGGTTTCAATATGATGGTGCACAATTAAGGCTCATCCTGGTGAACTAACAGAATTGCCAACTTTTGATTTTTTTGTGTGCTGTACATTGTTATATTGGTAATAAAAAATGCTACTCAATACAGTGTACTTTTTTACAGCCCACATAAACAAATAAAGTTGATTTCTCGGAAATGAAACATTATATTAAAAATATAAAAACTGTGTTTTGTAGAGCTCAAAAGTTAGCAATGAGAAAGTGATTTTTATTTTTATTTAGCTGCTCAAACAACAGGGAAAAAATAAAAACCAAATCGTCAAATTTTGCTTTTTCTGACATGTCTCAAAGAAAGGAACCGTTTCCGATCAACTACTGCCCTTCTATCTGTCCTCTTATCAAAGTACGGGATGGAGGGGGAGTGGAACTAGTTTTATACTTCATGGTACTCTAAGATCGGATTGTCGGAAGAGGGTACAAAGGGCGATTGAGACGTCTGCAAGAAATATATCCACTGATGATGTCAAAACAAAAGCTATTTCGGTTTAAAAAAATGCACAAGTTTACGACCAATAGAAATGCAGCATCACGGGTTCACGACGCATAATTTATGAAAATCAAAGTTTCCATAACAATGACAGATCTAATATTTATTAGTTTTGACAGCTGCTGGGCTGGGTGATTCGTTTTCTTGGTGAATTAATCCAAAGAGTATACTTTGATTAATCATAGGATTCCAATCATATATTTCTCTTATATTAATATATGATTCCAATCTGCGATCATCTTGAATAAATTTGACAGTGACACTCCGCTGGAACGTGTTACCATGACTGCGCATGCTTTGAGGTCGCTGACTTCGTTACCTGCACACAATAAAACCCATCGCCTCATAGGCGTAGAGAAAATAGTGTATGAAACTCGCATTTAATGGCTATGAAGACATATTCGTTACGAAACTCCCCAAGGCTCGTTTCGTAATTCTCGGCGCTATGGCATTGAGCCGAAAAACATTAGAACACAAGCGTCACCTTACAAAGCAGAGATTAAGTCGCAGGTAGCACAATAAAAAAGGTATACTTAACTAAATTAAACCAATGTTATTTTAATTATTTTATCTGTGTATGCGCCCTAACGTCTAGTCCTAGCCTAGGACATTATGTTTCACTTTACCGTCAATGCCAATTAATTGTCAAAAATCGACCATGATCCCAACAAGCGTAAGTTATATCCTTTATTCATTGGTTATATCATTGGCCCGTATGAATAAAAGTAAGCAAATGCTTATACTTGCAAAATTCAAAGTCAATACTCGTAACTGCCCCTTCATACACTTACGAGTATATTTACTTTGAATTTTGCAAGTATTAAGCATTTGCTTACTTTTATTCATACGGCCCATTGTATAGTGTAACCACGAACTTATAAATTAAGATGGACTGCTGATCAAACAGTTGCATAGCAGAGACTTGCTATAACACAAGTCTCTGTTGCATAGAGGTAGAAATGGCCCTAGTATGGATGGGCGCCGCCATGATGTACACATTTTAGTTATTTTCTAGGGGAATTTTCCTAGTGCTCAAGTTTTGAGACTATTGCAGCCTTGGAAAATGACATGTGTCACAGTAATTTATTTAGAAAACGTGAGGTTAATGCTTGCTTATTAGTTGATTTGAATTTCGCGCCAAGTGAGTGCACATCATGGCGGTCCCCCACCGTTCCCCGGCGTTATTTGTTAATTCTCTTATATACATGGTTAATTCAGCATTAGCAGTCCATCTCAATTTATAAGTTCGTGTATGTAACCCTCCTTCCTTAGTCTTTTATTTCAATGGTAAGGATAGATAAAGTGATTACTTTAACCGTAAGGGTAATAACGTCACAGATGAGTGTGCATTCTGATGACATCTGTCAATCTTTTTCAAATGCACGATATGAAATGACGTCCTGAACATATATATGACAATTCTGTTTCTATAGCAACGATCGCGACGGCAGAACCTAAGCTTGCTTTTTGACGTCGCTAAATTAAATTCAGAATAGCCAGGGTCAACATTTTTTTTATTGTACCTAACTGAAATCGAGAGATTTTGTTATTAAAAAACGATTAGAAAAGAATTGGGTGCAAAATATTGATATTTACGTCCGCTGTAAGCACATTAAAATCAAAGGGTCGGCGCGAAACAAGGAGTTGCTTTCGAGTCGCCTTTGGAAGTTCAAGTTAAATACAGTTTCCCATGTAAACAAAAATTTCAAAGGTGACTCGACAGCAACTCATTTTTGATCGTATAGTATAGGAATGTTTCTGGCTACTGACGTCACGCGGGGTAGTCTCGCGCACAGGTACCTTTACTTGCTTCGCGCCGACTCTTGATTTTAAAGTGCTTACAGCGGACGTAAATATCAATATATTTTGCACCCAATTCTTTTCTGACCTTATTTTAACAAAATCTCACGATTTCTGTTAAAATAAAACATACCAAAAATGTCGAACCTCCCTATTGTCAGAAGCTTTAGATTTATAGGTCTTTTGCTATAAAATAAAGTTTTGATGTTTATTATACACGACGATAAAAGTAAACTAACCATCCCGTGAAAGTTAAAATCACTCATCTTTCGCTCAATGGTTAAAATATCCCCTTATATATCGTCTTGTACAATAAATAACAAAATAATTCCCCTGTCACAGAGGATAACTGTACGGGAAGTCAAGCTGTTTATCTATATGGTCATGATAATACATTTCCTCTTTATACCGTAACATAGAACGTTAACCTTTTGTGCATTTAAATTGATGACACTATTTACTGTTATTGACTATAATGAAATTTCAGTTCTTAAACCCACTACATTTCCTTATGACCCATGTAAATCTTATTTCTGGTTTCAATAGGTAAATAGCTTGATTACACATTACCACCCATCATGCATGACATTCCTGTGTAAAAGAGAAACAAGATACATAACAAACAAATAATATATTTAATATGTTTACATAACAGTCTCCTGTTTCATACAAATAAATAGTCTCACTATTACAGGTAATGACTAATAATATATGGCTATTCACAAAGGTGTATAATGAAGAGGTTTCCTCGGTACTCATACCCAATTAAATCTCGCTTATTCAATAATTCCTCTTCATCTTCATAACTTTAGCCATAGACAAATTTGAATTTCATAACATTTTTATACTGAATTTGATGAAAGTAAAGCCACTACAATAAATTGAAAGATGATTATTACATTCAAATGCATAGGTATCAACAACGCTATGTGAAACAGAAATGTGTGTATTGTGAGCGATTATGGAAACAATGAATTAGTTTTGAGTACAAACATATAGTGCTCGAGTAGATGCGATTACGCAAAAGCCTTCAAATTGAGCTGCTAAGTGTCTTCAAGTATATTTTAATTTGATGCGAACATAGTACATTTTTAAGAAAAACATCAGTAAATGATATCATATCAAAATTGCATGCTTTAACGACAAAATTGGGATAATTGACAAAATTTATTCGTTAAGTTATTTATCACAGTACAGACGCGTAATACTAATTGTAATTAAAAAAACATAGCTATCGTGCATTAAACCACAATGTCTATATACTTGTACTCTTTTTGTAAAATTTTGATTTCAGATGGAAAATGGTTTATTGTGCTTGGCAATTTTTCTCTAAAATAACAACTGATTTTGCAGACTTCACAGAATAAGTTAGTGTCATACATATATTACTTTATAATTAACAAAAAATATCAATATTCATACAACCTAATATTTTACGAGTGATACATACACAATAATTACTATAGCAAGGTTTGTACCAAATACAATAACTTTGACCACATGATCAGATACAAGACAACATAACCTTATATGATTAGCAACACGAGGACTTGGCAGGTTCCGCTTCTATTAAATTAAAATCCATACCGTTAGGTCTAGTAAAACCAGTTTTGATGCCGTCCCAACCGTCTTCAACTTTGTATTCTCCAGATTGTATTCGATTATAAACCTCTTGTGTAACAGATCTAAAGGCCTCTTCGACATTGGTGCCTTTTCTTGCTGAAGTTTCTATGTGATGTAATCCGTTTTGATCGGCAAATGCTTTGGCTTCCTCTTTTGAGACTTCCCGATGACCCCCATTGCTTACGAGATCTAATTTACAACCTACGAGAGCAAAGATGGGACGATGCGGTTCAATGTGTCTCTTAGCCTCCGCCATCCACAAGGGGATGTGTTCGAAGCTCGCTCGATTACATATGTCGTACACCAACAAAGCGCCCACCGAATTTCTGTAGTAGGATTTAGTTATCGATCGAAATCGTTCTTGCCCGGCAGTATCCCACAATTGTAATTTAACACGAGTTCCATCCTTTACCTCAATTAACCTAGCAAAGAAGTCAACACCGACAGTGGGATCAGACAGCTAAAACAGAGGGGGGAAATTAGTGGGCTGCCTTTGTTTTGTTGACATTACCTCTGCAAATTTGCCATCCGTAAAGTATTTGAGCAGAGAACTTTTTCCTACAGTACTGTCGCCTATTAAAATTAGACGGAATTGGTAATCGAATATAGGCTCTACCATTTTAAACCCTCATTCCGTAAGAGAAATTATTCCTATTATAACAATTCTTTAAAAACGAAATCAACACTCGACACTGAAAAAATTGACAATTACGACATTGGCGGAGTGTGAAGGGAGGGAGATATCATGTGTTTATCTGCTTGTCGGTAATGTAGGCAATGTTTAAACCCATACAACTTGTCCGGGAAATTTTAAATATTTAGGGGTGGTTTGATGCTGCCCCGCCCTTCTATTTATACGATACAATTTTTGTGATGGGTAATGATTTGGGTTTGTGCGATAAAATAGGCAATAAACTTTCAGAATTAGGAAAATGGTAAGTCAGTTCCCATTTATAATTTTTAATTTACTTTACCCTACACTTTCAGGAAAGTATGGCAGAATGTAATTTTAGGTCAAGTCTTAGCTTTGCTACTGTGTGCAATAAATACACTATCTCATCTCATTAATTCAAGTGCCATGTTGGTCTTACCTACTGGCCAAAGTTTCCCTCATTACATGCTTCTGTTTGTCATTTATACTAGCTGGCTTGCATTTCGTAAAGGTGATCGAGGCTTGATATCAATATTAAAAGCACGAGGATGGCGATACATACTGCTTTGCTTAATAGATGTGCAGGCAAATACCCTTATGAATACGGCTCACCAGTTCACCACCTTATCAAGTATACAGGTTGGAGAAAAAGATTTATTACTGCATCTATAAATAAAATATATACCTTTCAGTTACTCGGGTGCGTAGCAATACCTGTAGCATTGGCACTAAGCTGCTTAGTGCTTGGTGTTCGTTATCGCATGGTGCACATATTGGCTATATCTGTTTGCCTTATGGGAATTGGCTGCCTTGTTTGGGCTAATACAACTGATACATCATTTACCGGTACTTTATTCGTACTCTCTCTCCCATTGAATCTAAATAGGGGAATTTCTGGTGTGCTGTTATACAATTCATTCACCATAAAGCAGTTGTTCATAGCCCACTAACCCAATCTTATACAGGATGTAATAAATAAGAAAACCCACTAAGCAAAGTTAGGTACAGTACGTTTTTAAATGGAATTGTAAGTTATGAGTTTAATAACAGCAAAGTAGGTGTCAGTTTGTGGTACCTACTAGTTAGATCTGCGCCCCGTTTAAATTACATTTGCAAAATCGACTTCTCAAGTTTTACACAGTTTTTTTTTTAAACTTATACAATCAAAATTGAAAAATTATTGTATGCAATAATGAAGTTTGACACATAGCAATCTAGATACGAGTATGTTTCAATTTAAAATGTCATTATTAAGATTAACGCAGAAATTATTTTTTACTTTCCTCATTAGAAAGGCAAATCACGTTTCCTTCACACTTTTTAGAATCGAAAATAGTTGTTTCTAAAGTAGTTTCAGAAGAACAATCATACACTGCCGACAATGTTAATTTTGAGAATTGAACATCTTTTGTTTCATCATGGCACACTTAGGTTCAGAAAACAACGTTTTTTTTCGACTTGGTTTTTCCTAGGGTTTTTCTCTGAAATTTTTTTATGGAATGTGTAAGTTTGTTTATGTCAGTGGAAAATTTGTAGTTTTGGCTACCCAAAAGGTATAATTTGTTTAGGGGGGTGCCATTTCAAATTTTTAAAAAATGTGCCATTTGGCGAAAATCAATCAAAAATTTTATTTTCTCGATAAAGTACCTAAAAAAATTATGAGACTGTGAAAGAGGTGTTAATTAAAGTTAGGGGTATTTCTGGTTGTGTGTAACTTGCATAGAAAACCTAACCTTAGGTTCTATGGGAACTTATAGGTGACCGACGCGCACATGGCAAGTCTAACCACGTACGTACTATTGGTTGCATATCCATAACAAGTTTCACAAAAAAGTGGCACAAGTTTGCGAAAAGCACAAGTCTATGTTTAAAAACAGCTGACATATATACAGTACGGTCTCAACCAAAATAGGGCACATGGTACATACGCAGACTAAAAAAACGTAAAACAAATACCTACTGTGCATGTCCAGACCCTGCACATACTTTATTTGTGAACCAATCCTTTTGAAATTTTAGGGTGGGATTCTTCTTATCTTTGAAACGAAAATGAGTTTCGAAGTTTTTTGTTGGGACATTTAAAAACAAAATTTAAAAGTTTTGACCGTTAGAATTAAAGTAGGCACTAATCAGTAAAAACACGGAAGAGGTAGGCCATCAGAAGTTCCCCTGTCGGCACGTTGCTAAATCACCTGTTATTGTACTAGGTACCTATACATACGTACAACCTATGTGCTATATAATTATGTTTTTTAGGTAAAAATCAATTAGTGGGAGATATGTTGTGTTTAGGAGGAGCAGTTTTATTTGCAATTGTTACAGTTTTACAAGAATTAGCAGTAAAGAAAACTGACGTTGTGGAATTTTTAGGATTGTTGGGACTATTTGGGAGCATTGTCAGCGGATTACAAATGTAAGTACATAAATAATGGGCGATCAAAAATGAGTGGCGGTCGAGTCGCCATTATGGAAGTTCAAGTTAAGTATGATTTCCCATGTAAACAAAAATTTGAAAGGTGACTCGACCGCAACTCATTTTCGATCGCATAGTATAACGGGCGTTCAATAATTGTTATGGTCAGATCGCCTGTGTTTGTCAGTTTTGTCACAAAAAAACGTGTTTAACCGATCTATCTTAATTTGTTCATATAGAAATCAAAAACAAACGAAAATATCACTTATTTGTGGCTATGGGAAAGAAAGAATAATTTAATTTGCAGTCAGCTACCTCTGTGGCAATCTTGGGATAGTGAAAATTAATTTATTGATTTAGATCCAAAATGGATAGACACTAGCCGAAAGAGTAGAAATTCTTGTAATTTATGGTGCCATTTTCCCTAACTCAAAGTTGTCACAAAGGTAACTGACAGCAAATTAAATTCTTTCTTTCCCATAGCAACAAATAAGTGATATTTTCATTTGTTTTTGCTTTCTATCTGAACAAATTAAGATAGATCGATTAAATCAATTAAATAAAAAGTTTTCTAATTTTCTCGAAAACGAATTGACCGATTTCAAAAAATCACACTTCGAAATAAAGGACTTCAAAAGACCTTTCAAACAAGCTACCTATTACTCGATACCAATTGTCGTTTAATATTTCTAAGGGAATAATCCCTGGGGGGGTAGAGGGTGAAAAGAGATGAAGTAGTTTTTGGCTGGTTTCGGCGTTTTTTCCTTTAATCAGTGATAAATCCGTGTTGGGAAGTTTTGAAATGAACACCCTGTATATGAATGCCTCACTCTTGCTACTGTATGATGATGACAGCGTTTTCGTCGAAACGCATTCGGTTTATTAAATTAATTGTGATTTTTGCGGTTTGTTTCAAATGATAATTTGAGCATCTGTACTATAGACTTTCTATAGGAAACTTATGGTGGGTTTATACAATCATTATCATTAGTTGACTATTAATAGATCATTAAGAAATAGCCAATAGAATCAAAGGTTTATTGTGCATCGCTAACCAACGAAACCATATACCTATATATTGGCTATTTCTTAATGATTTATTGATAGTGAATGATAATGGTTGTGTAAACCCACCATTAATGTTAAGTTTATCATTTCATGTTTATTTTTTAAGGGTAATTTTGGAAAAACAAGAATTACTAACCGATTCGTGGAAACAATATATAAATATTTTGACAACATTTTCTATTTCACAATTCGTATTTTGCATTTTATCATGCATATTCTTACAAAATATGGGAACCACTGCCTTACATTTATCACTACTTTCTGGAAACTTCTATACACTGGTGACTGGTACCGTACTTTTAAACTACAAGGTAAGTACAAATTGTGTGTTAAGGTTTACAAAAATAATCATGATGTATTGTTCTGTAGTGCCACGCGCTTTATTTCTTATCCTATTTACTAACAATGATTGGTGTTTATATTTACGTAATCAAGCCGACACCGTTTGCTGCTCAGTACTTGCCTTCCGATTCTCAAAGAACTCGAAATATTTCCAGCAGGTATAAGAACCGTAGATAGTAAGACCTCAAGTACCTCAAGCTGTAGCAGAACTGTTTTCTTTTTTCTATAGCCTGCAATTTCAAAATTATTTCCCTATACATTTTAGGCCAGAGTGTCAAATCAGAGAACATCATATGTCCCTGAGTCCAGATCACAATGGTCATATGCTTTCCACGTTTGGGACAATCAACAGTATGGATACGTTACCGATTACCATAAGCACAAATACCACCTTTACATCTTTTTATGGTAGTCACGATGTTCTCAACAATAAATTGTCTACAAGTACCGCTTAGGATTAAATTAAACTTTTGTACATTGTAAATAGGTGCATGTATAGCGGCGTACTAGAAGTTTGTATACTTAATTATTTATTACTGTTTTTACTAAAGGTATTATTAAATTATTGCAACCGTCCGGACGGATTTTCTTGAATTAGAATTTATATTCTGTAGTACCCTCCTCCTCCCCGGGTCCCACATAACTTTATTTCTGACCTTCGATCAGAACTATAATACCCTAAGAATAAAAACAAGTGTAAATTGTGCACAGGTCTTGTACAGATAAAGCACATTTTTTTAAACCGAAATAGCTTTTGTTTTGACATCACCAATGAATATATTTCTTGCAGACGTCTCAATCGCCCTTTGTGAGTACCCTCTTCCGACAATCCGTTCTAGATGTACTATGCGATCAAAAATGAGCTGTTGTCGAGTCACCTTTGGAATTTTTGTTTACATGGAAAATCGTACTTAACTTGAACTTCCCAAGGGCGACTCGACAGCATCTCATTTTTGATCGCCCGTTATAAGGGAATATACCCGATCACGATATGGAGGTCGAGGAGGAGGGCTATGGTTGGTAGAAATTAGTTGAGTTCCTTTTGTTGAGACCTTTCATTAGAATACCTACCATGAAGGAAAAAACTAGTTCCACTCTCCCCCCTCCACCCCGTACTTTGAGAAGAGGAAAAGGAATAATTTTTATTTGTTACGACACTGGCAGGTGTGCCTTGGTGACAAATTGTCACAGTTTTATTGAAAGTATTACCTGTCCTCTCTCTTTCCTAGTCTAAGAATAATTCAGCATCTATAGATCTGCGTTGCGTTGAGTGGCGTCAGAGCCGTTGCGTCAGGTAAGTATGTTCCTGCCTAGGCCTGCTGGACTTTAGATGCGGCCGGTCAGCATTGCTTTGATTTCAGCAAAGCCATGCGGTGTAGAATTTGCAAGTGCATATGGGGATGTATCATTAGCTCATAGGAGATGAGCAACAAGACGTAAGACTTCCGTTGGGAGACGGTGGGTTGTGGTCTGCGATGATCCATAGCTCGGCGACAGGAGTGCACCTTTCAATAAAATGCTTGACGAGAGCATGTCGTCTAGAACGTCCTCAGTGAAAGTTGGATATAAGTCGCTCGTGGCGTTTCGGTGTTTCTTGGTGGTGGTTTCCAGGTGGTCTATCCCATCACCGACGACGGAAGCTGCGGATGGCGCCTGGGTGCATTTCGTGGGGAGCGGTGCGCCGATGGAATCGTTCCGGTGGTGGCGGTAGACGTTGCTGGTGGTTTGTTTTTCCACGGTAGGGACACTTCGTGTAGTTTATATATGGAGACAGCACCGTATAAAGATTCATGGCAATTATACTGATGTTTCCCAAGTCCAAACGGCTATTCTCAGCCTTTTGCTTGGGGTATGGAAGACTTTCCCAAACTTAAGAGTACCTAATTATATACCTACTCTTTGTCCAAACTTAAGAGTTTTTCGGACCTGCTGTTAGGGTAGTAATCCAATATTTTAACACTGTCCCTTTCAACATGAAATAGTTTAACCCAGAGACTTGCTATAACTAGACTGCGCTTAACGTATCTAAGGTGTTGTCGACACAGTATGCAACACACAATGCACCGCGGGGCAAAAATCGCTGAGATGATATGCAATATAATGAAATAAGCTGTTATTTTAGATGTTCCGTTCATTAATCATTCTCGTGATTAGCTCGAATTAGTGAACAGATAAATTTCTTTTGCGAATAAACCAATGAACTTAGGTTAACTCGTGCGTATCAACATGTACTCTGTCGATAAAATTTTAAATAATATGCAGATTTTCAACGGATAAAAGTTTAAAGGGCCAATGGATTAGATTCGAAGAGAAAAATTTACTCCCACCATAGTGCATTTGCGGGGAATGAAGCCGATTTTAGAAAGGTACCGACGAAGGTGTTAAACAATAATGCAATACCGAGCGTTTTCGACTTTCCCATTCACTTAAAATAACGTAGAACTATTATTCGACATCCTTTACCAGCAAGATAACGGCAGTACCTATTTGCCTATTAGGTATAGACGTAACTAAGTACTTACTGGTACTAAGTATATTTCAGGTTTTGTTACAAGAAAAATAGCTAAGTCTGTTAAATGTTCCATATGTGCATTCGAGAGTCATTCAAAGCTTTTAACTAGAAAAAATCGTGGAGGATTGTTGCACGTATCAAGCGATGCATTAAAAATTTGCCAAATTGCTGAAAATGTGTTCAGGTTTTTCATTCAATCCACACCACACCGCGTTGTAAACAAAATGGTTATCAGCAGTCTAAGAAAAATAAATAACAGTTACAGCCCATTTGGGTTTTTGGATAGGCATATATTGAATCAAAATCCGCTAAATAATCATATCTTACTACTTACATCTTTAGTTTTAAGAGTATATTTTCCCATACGTGTTCACCACCAAAATACACATATAAATCAAATTAGGACTAGAGTAAGGCAGTTATATACCAATTTAGTTCAAATAAAATACCAATAAATTCGATTAAAACAGTTAACAGCTATATGTTATCTTTTTTTGCTACTAAAATTTAGAATAAACATGGCTAAAGCAAGCTGCAGAACGTACATACGTCTGCCCCGCGATGAACAGTTGGTTGCCTATCCTATCTTGACAACAGGCGTTTGTAGTAAAATCTACGTTACGCGCGGTCTAGTTATAACAAGTCTCTGGTTTAACCATAGACTAAATATACATTGGTCCATGGTCCAAGTAAATGGAGAAGTGCAGTGAAGGTTGGACGTAGTAGTAGCGAGCTTTCATTTCTCTCACATATTCTATGAAGGAAAGGTTCTTGTCAATTACGTAGAAAAATACTTGTCCAATCTACCTACTCTTTACAGACGCGTAAGGTCGGAGCAACCGAGCACCCTTTATATTATCGGTACATTTTTGGATTGCGGTGTGTCCTCAGACAAAACCAATGAATGGAAGGAGCATTAATCAAGTTGTATACCAGAGAGAGAGTGCGACGGAAGTCGGCCATTTGCAAAAGCCACTTATGAGTCATTTTTGTTGTGGCTGTTGCAGTGACATAAAAAGAATGGTTAGATTGTTTTCGTGTAATAGTTATTTACATATGAGTATGGTAAATCAAGGTTTACGTTAACGAGTGAGATGTGAGAGGAATTTCGAAACGAGTAACGTACGTAAACTGATTTGACATACAAATAATGTAAAACATTTTTTTCACTACTAGCGTCTGATGACATGATTATTAACCTTTTTTCCACTTGTAAAGTAGGCTTTCTCGACATTTGTTCAAAGTGGTTAATAATTTTTTATTATTAACTAGTAGTCAATAATGAGAACTGTCACGCTGTCACTTTTAGAAAACACAACCCGAAATTTCGCTCAATGAACGTTTAGACAAGTTCTCTAAAACGAATAATTGCCACCATTCGCAATTTCCAGAGAAATTACATACCTAAAATTATCACATTTTGAAAAAATTCGAACGAAATTACTCTTTGAAAAATCTCAATGACAGAACAAAATACGGCCTGTTTGACTTGTACTTCCACGTACTTGATTGACATGTTAAATTAAGAAACAAACAATTCTGTCCAACCGTTAACTCTCTTATCAATATAATATGTTAATTTAGAGGATTTCAAGTGCTAGTAGTGAAAAAAATAGTATATATACCACGGTAGAGAAGTCTATTATTGCCTTCGCACCTTACACCCCTCGGCGCAAGCGCCTCGAGATGTAATCTTGGTGCTCAGGCAATAATAGTGGACTTCTCTACCTTGATATATAATGTACTATTATTTCATACTGCTCTATTTCTATTAAAATACCATTTTGATTAGAATGTTGTAGGTACACGTTAAAATAAAAGCAAAAGTCGATCACTTGATTTGTTTGATCTGACAGTGGTTGGACAAATATCAATGCATACGTTTAGATGGATGTCAGTTGCGGTTGCTAGGCAAAATTTCCAGTCTGGTAAAAATTTTCAGTCTGGTAAAATACGATTTACCAGACTCAAATCAGTCTGGGAAAGCGGCGATTACTAGATAGTATGAAATAAAATTCTTTTTAGTCGATAGCCGGAAAAATGGCATATTATTGTTTTGTTTATGTCATCACAAGGCAGGTGATTTCCGTACTGTCCGGGAATCTTCATTCCCGTACAGTACGGGAAAATATCTATACTCTTGTGAGCATGAAAAAGTAAAAGAACAGTTATACACACAAATGCATAGTTTATTTTCTATTAATATGTACATTAATAGTACAATTATTGCAGTTTCCAATCAAATTTGATAGTCCAGTTGACTCTACTTCATAATTAATTGAACAATTCTTGTTTTGGAGATGGTGAACCCCTACTTGCTTAAATCTTTTACCATTATGGTATTTGAAGAAAAACCTATTGCACTCAAAATTGGATGGTCGAACGGTTGCATATTTACGGTATGCTCCTAAATAAGTGCCGTTTACTATAAACGACCGTGGTTTATTGGCTGTGTTGCATGGAATCTTCACCAATAGTTGTGAACCCAAATCCTCAATGTCCGCAAGCTTTAAGTTACATAACTCCTCTCGCCGACAGGGGCCATAAATTCCGAAAATTACCACAACCTAAAAAAATTAAGTTATAATCTTCAGGCCTTTTAATTAAAATCTTACTTTAGCCATGAGGTAAGTATCATTTGGAGCGTTGATCATAAATTCTCCGATTTGTTCGTTGGTGAAGACTTTCGACTGCTCTTTACTTGATCTATATTCCATAAAACGTTGATAAGCATTTTCATACTTTTCCCTCGATTTAGTTGGCAACAGACTTAGAGTAGCTTCATTGACTGCTTCCAAAACTTCATCAGGTGGTGTTACACAAAATAAATCTTCATCAAAATCACCGTCGATATCCATTTTATACTACTAACTAATATTATAAATTCACACATTCACACAAACGAAAAAATTTTCGATTTGTTTACTTCATGTCCATGGTAACGTTCAAACAATGCATGCTCGGAAAACAAACTTGATGTTTGCATCTTTTAATTATTGTAAATAAAAAAAAGGCGCCGCCCGGGTTCGATCCGCGCACCTATCTCTACAAGCATAGACCAATGACATTATACCAAATGACAATTGGAGAAAATTAATTTAGTTTGAAATGGTATTTTTGGTGTTTAACTATTCGCTATCGACTAAAAAATAGTATGTATAACACGTAGGAAAAGTATATTCCTGGACTCTGATAGTTGTAAGCCTCGGCTAACGCCTCGGCTTACAATCACTATCATCGTCCAGGAATATGCAACTTTTCCTACTTGTCATACAATCTACTATTCTACGACTGTAAGGTAGGTACGCCACTGGAACAGGAAACAACTGTCCGCCATTTGCAAAAGCCATCCCGGTCCAGAGACATGGAGAGAGGAGATAGCGCATGAAACTGCGCGAAGTGACAAAACAAGGGGGCTGCCATTTTGACACCCATTGAAGCGCGAAATTTGAACAGGACTATAAAGGTTTACTGACGTAACCCAGAGACATCTAACGCAATCTTCATACACTACACTCTATTCGGCAGCAGCTCCGTAGGAAGAAACTAATATCTCAATCCAAATGAACAAAAGAAAATGCCAGTGACGTTGACGTTACAAAATAAACACTTAAACCTCGAAAAAAGCTCTCCTAAACACGAACACAATCTAAAATAACACCACTATAAACACAACATGACACAACGGGTGTAAAAATGGCAGCGCCCATGAGGTCGCACCCTTTCTTGGATGCGCACTCGTCGATCAGCGATCTCCTCTCTCCATGTCTCTGTCCCGGTCGCACGTATATTGTTGATATTCTCCTTCTGGTATTCTTTATTCATTGGACAAAACACAGAACTCCAAATTCTGTCTTCGCTGGCCCAGCCAGCCGGGTCTCAACTCACTTGCAGATGTGTTCCACACTGACTCCCTGTACTGCGCAAACGCAAGCGCGCTAAAATTTGAATTTGCTTTAACGTGCCACCGTTTGTTTTGTTTATAATACCAGTTCCTGCTGACCAAATGTCGCTGTATTTTCGGAAAGAATATGTTCTTCTTCTCGAATTAAAGCCTTCGGTCACTACTGTGAATTCCAGTTAAATACATTATAGCGCCAACTTGAAAGCAAACCTCTACTTTAGCTATCAGTCATGATCCTTGTAGTCTGGTTTACTGTGATTCGTTCAGCACCGAACTCTCTCTTTACCATAGGTCAATGTTGGTCTGTAACGTTATTGCTGTAAGTAAAAACTCTTTCTAATTAACTATTACCATTGAATAATAAATTCAGATTTATTATTCAATGCTATTACGGTACTTACCGAAGCAGTGTCCTAATATCGCCTTTGGCATATTCTATGACCATGCACTCCAAATGTAGATAACAACAAAATTCATTTTGATAACATGGCATTTTCATATACCTACTACATATAATAGGTAAGCAGGTAAGGTAAATTATCTTCAATTATAACGTTTGCAGGTTTACACTTGACAGCTGTACACAAATTCAAATTTTAGCGCGCTTGCGTTTGCGTAGTACAGGGAGTCAGTGTGGAACACATCTGCAAGTGTCTCAACTCCTCCTGCGTGACATTTTGTTAAATCTTCGAATCGTTAAACTTTTTGTGCCGTTGTGTGTTAATGTTACCGATTTTAGGACTTCAAAAGAATTTTTTTTATCTGCTAAACATGTCGGCAAAAGTTTCATTAGAAAACGTAAAACGACAGGCAAATGAAGCCCAAAAAACCATTACCCAATTAAAGGATGAGGTTAGTTTAATAAGGTATAGAGTATAATTAGATCATTGTGGAATATTCTATCTAGTTGCAGATAATCACGGAAGCATACAACACTTTAAGATGCCATCAATTGCGAGAAGAAAATAAAAAACTTTTATTGGCAGTAGAAGCTACGAAAAAAAATTTGGTGAATTTGGAAATTAAAAATGGTGTGAAGCAAGTGGGGATTGTCCTCAACAAATCCGCAAAGATCAGCGACACCTGTAAAGAGATACCCAAGCAGCAAGCTGCTGTTGCAGAGAAAAATGAAAAGAAAAGTGCAAGTAAGAAGAAGACCGAGCAGGTTGCAAAACCAAAGAATGACAATGCCAAAGATTCCGAAGAAATTATTGATGTTGGTCGTTTGGACTTGAGGATAGGCAAAATTGAGCATGTCAAGAAACATCCCGATGCAGACAGCTTGTACGTTTTAAAAATTAGCTGCGGTGAAGATCAGCCAAGGACTGTATGTTCAGGTCTCGTTAAATTTGTACCAATTGAACAGTTGGAGAATAAAAGCGTGATGCTGTTATGTAACTTAAAGCCTGCAAAGGTACTATGGTTGGGAGCTTATGTTTTTTTTAATCACTTGTATTGTAGATGCGTGGTGTCACATCAGAAGCTATGATCATGTGTGCATCGTGCTCAGAAGCAATCGAAGTTTTGTCTCCGCCACCTGGTTGTATCGCCGGCGAAGCGGTACATTGTGAAGGATATACTAGAAATCCAGACCTGATTATGAATCCTAAAAAGAAAATATTCGAAGCTATTGTGCCTGATTTAGCCACAAATGAGACTTTGGAAGCTTGTTACAAGGGTGCCCCTTTCTATGTTCCTGGCAAAGGAAAGTTTTTGTCACTCACTCTTAAAAATTGTCCTGTAAAGTAAACTGAAATGTAACTTATTAAGGGGAAATCATAATTGGAAAATTGTTTTGTTTTTGTTCTGTAAAACCATTTTTCCAGCATAATTATTAAAAGTCTATTTGGGCTGTGTGATTCAAGAGTAATGCAGTTTTGAAAGTCAACAGAATAATTTGAAATGTGATTGAAAAATAAGATTGTATTACGGCTAAGCAAAAGTTTAACTACCTAATCAAATGTTGCTACACATCTTCAAAGGAATAGTTCCCTAATGATTTATTTATGAACATTCAATCTGGCTCAAATGACGCCTTTAGGATTTAAAGCTTCTTTATGATATACTTTCAGGTATTTGCCTGTCAGTCTATATGGCCTTGTTAACTTGATAATTTAATACTCATAGCGGAAGATTTTTTAAGTAGTTTAGGTCTGTTGTTTGATGAGCGCAATATGCTAAAAACGAACGCCCATGAACATAGGCGCAACTAGACTTTAACTTTTGGGGGGGCTACAGCCCGGTGTACATTATAAAGCCCATTCCAAAAAACCATCCAATTTTTATCTCTTTTCCTTAGCATTCCCATTCTACTAAGTTGAACATTTTCTGAATTCTGAGCATCACATTCACTTTATTAAAGACATTACCAAATGTAAATTTATCAAATTATTTTATTATTATTATTTTGCGGTGCCTGTCCGTCCGTTAGCACGATATCTCGTAAACGAATGGACCGATTACGATGAAATTTTGCAGGTGGATTCTTTATCATATTTGTAGATCGAAGTTCGTGAATTGGCAATGTAGGCCAAAAAGTAAAGAAGTCCCTTTTGACATCTCCGTTAGTTATGAACCGAATTGCATAAAATTCATTATGAGCATGGCTTTAGTCATATAAGACGCAATTCCAAAAGTTGAGCCTAATCGATCAGCATTCCCAGTGCCCTCTTCGCATCTCGACCATTTATAAATCGAATTGCTAACTTTCTTATTTATGAAGGTATTTAAATGAAATTTGATACATAACCACTTGGAATAAAAGCAAATTTAACGCTAGTTTCAAAATTTGGTTTTCCACATGCTATAGGAATACCCAGAAGCTCGTTTTCTATATTTTTTTACACGTTTATTATTATAAAAAAATACAAGAAGTAAATTTGATTGATGTTACTACAGGCCAGGGTATTTTACTAGTTTTTTTTGCAAATTTATTAACAATTTGTTCGGAATCGACGGAAACGCTTCTTTCTATATATCAAAGAGAAATATTAGAGAAACGGTCTTGAGCCATTGTTGTTTTTAACCAGCTCATAAATTTTGCATAGCCGAAAATGACCTTTCACAGGTTGCTGAAGAAACTGGCAATATGATTGCTCTGTCCATTTAGCAGCTAAAGTGTAAAAAAAAAAACAGCAAGCATTTGATGTGATGTCGGGGATACAGTCGTCGGTCGGTCTCATTTGCACAACCGACAGATGACAACGTTTGCCGGTGTGGGTATGAGTTTTATTATAACAGGTAGTATTATGTAAATGTAATAACATTGTCAGTTCCAGCAGGCCTAGTGTTAACGAATCTGGGGAGGTAAAAGTGACCATTAGGAATGTATGTGACATTGTTAATTTTTTAATAAACAAATGTACATTTTCAAGCTTAACATATGAAGACAAATTATTGATGCGCCCCGTTCCCGATTTAGGTAAATCGTCAATTAACGTAAGTGGAAAATCAAACGGAGCCTTTAACAACACCTGGTATGAGAAATATGATTGGCTCACAGGAAGTGTAGAGTTAAAAATAGTATATTAAGTATGGAGAACGGTAAGGGATTTTTACCGTTCGAAGACAATTGTTTGGAGGAGGAGCGAAGCGACGACTCCAATTATTGTCTGAGAACGGTAACCCTTAACGTTCGACGTGCTTATAACATTTTTTGCGAGATCGAAATTAAAATTATGCAACCAATATAAATATTCACTAAGAAATTAACGAGCAGAATAAATCGAAATGATCGAAGTGGTATGGTGTACATCACTAGGTAACCAGTTTATTTGTCAAAATTGAAATTAATAATTTCATAAAAATGTGCATGTGTCTGATGTAGTTTACTAGCTTTGCACTTTCTTTATGACTTTATGAGCGTCTTACTATAGGAAACAACAGCACAAATTGTACGTTTAATGTACCTAACAGTAATTAAAGATTAAATGTAATGTAAGACTGTTGATTTTTAAAAAGGCGTCGGTAAGTATTTTTGCTGTTCTGTTTTTAGATCGGTAAGTAATTTTGGCGTCGTCGTAATCATAGCAACTGGTAAATAGTCAGAAATGACCGATCGCGCAAAAAATTATTTTTAGGCTATCATCACAAAAACGTTGATTTTGTGGTCGCTTTTGCGGCCATAAAGTTTCACTTTATTGTACGCTTCTGTCAAACTTTACTTTATTGTACACATCTGTCAAACTGTACTTATTTGAAACTGATGTGTGGTGTGAGAACCAGTAATCTGTTTGATAGAAAGCGTCTATCTGGTCTGTCCTCATCAAGGATTGGGTCCATCCACGTGCGTTTTTTTCATTTTCAGACTTGTAGGAATGTTTCACACTATTTTGCGTAATCACAATGTTCACATTTAAAATTATAGTTTGACGTTTCAATCTTTGCTGCTTGCAGAGACCTTTTTGAAGTGTAGAACCAAAACATGAGGAAGATGTTATTGCTTACATTATTATACGAAGAATCACCAGCAATTAACCGAGAACACAAGTACCTACCTATACCTACCATCAAAGTAGGTAATCAGGTTTCTAATAATTGTACGTTAACTATAAGGTCTTGGAAGCCACAGTTACGAAGGACCTATTGCATTTGACATTATTAAAATCTTGTGCAACCGAGGAAGTTGCGATTGTACTTTTACTCTCAAACGCCTGCTTTTATATCATATATGACTTAGGGTCGCAAGCGCAACGCTTGCAGCTTCCAAAATTTCATTTGGGGTATCTGAACTGTCGCTATCACCCATTTTGATACGCACAAAACACACGCAAAGATGCTAATTATAATTACATATGACAGGAAATGCTTTGTTTTTAATTGTCTAAGATAACTATGATTTTCAGAAAAAATATGTTTATGAGCAAATTTTTGAATTCTTTTTTGATGATCGCCTAAAAAATGTTGTGTGCACCTTGGCCAAAAGTGATTTGTTAGGCCTCATCTGAATTGCGGCCTCGGCTACCGCCTCGGCCACAAACAGCAGCTTCGGCCAAAAAAGATCACTTTTACGGCCTTGGTACACAAATAACTATTGCTGGCCTCTTGTACAGTAGTTCCAATTATCGTACAAAAACCATAATTATCGTACATCTGGTAACACTGATCTGACAGTAGTTTGACACAGTTTAGATGGATATCAGTTGATGTTGCTAGGCAACATTTCCAGTTTGGTAATAGTAGATTACATACCGAGCTGGAGCTGGGAAGTGGCCTAAGCCTAAGGCTTAAGGTAGAAGGTACATGAGGTATAAGCGCGAGACGTTGGTTATGAACCACTGACCATCGAGGTTTGTATACTATTTTATTCAAAATTTGTATTAAATAGGTAGTATACCTAACAAATGCCATCAGTGTCAGTGTAACATTGAAATCTAGTCGGCATTGGCGAGCAAGTTGGGATCGGGAAGTACTTTGCCGACCTCGACAAGGTTCGCAAAAGATGTCAAATTGCTCACTTCAAAACAGTTGGTAATTGACATATTACATACTGGGTGAATACTTTCAAACCAAACATAGGGAATTAACATGGGAAAACCGTTTTTCGCAGATTGTTGCTCACCAAATTAACTTGGAGAGTTCATAATGCCACCATTGGAAAGAAGATTTTTTTCCGCGTTTTATGATATGCAAATTATTAACGTCTAGTTGCACGTTTAATTATTATTTTGCGAAATTAGGTAGTCAAAAGTGTACTTTTAAAAAATCAGGGTAGTCATGAAAACAAGGTACGATAACTGTCAATCATTTTAATTTGTAATTACCCAGAACAAAAAACTAATTACCACAAAACTTACGATGTATTCCATTGTGGAAAAAGTGTTTATGGTAAAAAACGTTTACGGCGGTAATAGTTGCCGCAGAGTGCGAGATTTATTTTCCGTGGAATTTAATCAAACTTCTATTCCGTCAAAATCGACAATTTGACAGATAGTTATTCAATTTGACAATTCCGGATGCTTAAATCTTATATGGGTCATGGCTACATGATTTTCAGAGTTAATTTTATTTTGCGAATTTTTGATAAAATAATGAGAAAATACAAATAAAACTTAACTAATTCGCATTTAGTTAGATGAGAAAAAAATCTTCTTTCCAGTGGTGCCATTATGAACCCTCTAAGTTAATTTGGGGAGCAACAGCGAAAAACTGTTTTCCCATGTTAATTCCCTATGTTCGGTTTCAGAGTATTCACCCGGTATATGATTGTGAATAATAATTATTCACATAAGTCAGGAAAATGACATATTACTGGCGAGGAAAGATTAAAGTGCGAGGCCCTCTTTCACTCAATGGTTAAAATATCCCTTTATCGTCTTGTATAATAAATAAATATTATATACCTGAATCACATCTCCGTTTTGAACACTCGAATGCGCACGAAATCGGGCCTCTAAAAGACAAGCTTTATAGTTGGTAAGTAATGTTACTTCAAATATGACTTATGAAACAATTTGTAACTGGATCTGTAATTATAAGAAGGTAGTAGATGGCACCATCTTTGAAGATGAACACACACCAGAAAAATATAAAACGTTACCAAATTATTGTAAAATAAAAATATCCAGCACTACGAACAGAAATAAATTAAACGATTTCACGCTTGGATCTTTGACATTAACAGCTAATGACAGTTTAGTTGACAACAGAAACTATCGCCTTACAAAATTTTATATGCACCCTTAGACCATAGTATATGGACTACTAATTGTAACGAAAGGGCATCACCTGGGTATGTGAGTTTCAGCGTAAACGAGTCTGTCCGATTAGATATGATTTGAGACTGTCAACCTATAAATTAACAAACGTCAATTAATTAATCGCCTAGATATGTAAAAAAAGCAAACCTATTCTTTTTTGTGGACGTATAGCAAATAATGAAGAGTATTTAAAGCTTCCCGTACTATGCGGTTACTATAAAAGCGACTCTTTATGCGATCCGAGTGGTGTTTACATGACTTTATAGTTTACCCTGAGATTCACATACCCAAGACTACAGTGCCCTCTATCCGTGACCACCCATTTTGTATTGAAAGCATAGGGCTAATAGCAGTCCATGTACTATATGGTCTAAGTATGCACCTTATTATACAGTACTTAAAATTATGTAACTTACTGTAGCTATCTCTCTAATCTGCATCGCTTAAAAAATAATTTCTTCATTTGAACTCAAAAAATCTTTTTCATATAGCATTACCACTGTCTACAATGCCATTCCATCGAATATTAAAAAGCTTACAGTGTCCAGGTTTAAATCAGCACTACGTCACATTCTTTTGAACGAGTAAAGTGTCCCATTCTCAAGTTACTTATTAATTAACTTTTTTTTTTCACAGTATTGTCTTTTTGTGTGTGTGTGTGTGCTATCTCTTTGTCACCCGTCCATCGAAATTGTAAACATTTAAATTGAAGTTATGTTATGGGTTAAGTGGAAGAACACTTGGTGGCGATGTTGCCCCTAGGTGAACTTCGCCCTTTAGATCGTCATCTAATAAAGACCTTATTATTATTATTATTATTAAAAATTGTTCCAGGATCTACTTATACCTAAGAATAACCAATAATTTAATTAAAAAAAGCATTAAAAGTATCGAATGTTTATTTTTCAAAAATCAACTTACTTAGCCTTCATATTCCTAAATTTTACAATTATAGACAGCAAAATTTAAATAATTACCCAATACTATTTATTCACTGTAAATCAAATGTGTAGAATAAAACCTGTAGAATAATTTATCTAGCACGCAATAAAAAAATACGTATAATAATGTTCCCCCATAAAAATTAATACTCTATTAGTCTATTATAATTCATCATGAATTTCGTGCTCACTATCTGTCATTGATTCTCTGCAAGCTGCTGGTGTTGTAAAATCAAACTGGTATTCACATTTATTAGGTTCAGTGACCGCTGTCACTTTATTTTCACTACCGCACACAACTCGTACTTTTGTCGATCGCTCTGGACCGTTCCAGCACGACTGACCACCGGTGAAGTGCATGACTGAATATTTATTTTCTACTCCTATCCATTCGCCCCATTTTCCTAAATGAGTTTCGAGAGAACTCGACTTTGGTTGCTGAATGACTTTGTTAAACGGACATAATTTGTAAATATACTCGTGATCTGTATATTCAAAGCATTCACTTTCCAAAATGGCAAATTCGTCGTCTACTCCGAAGTCAGTTTTCAAATACTGTTCAACGTCGTTTATCTCCGATTTAATTTTTGATGCAGCATCGTTGGCGGAGTGATATTCTGTTCGAGCATTACTGGCCGCATCCACTATTTTTTGCGTTTCATCATCATATTTTGGAGAAGGAGGTGGAGGAGGTTTTGCTTCCTCGGCAACATGTCCTTCTTCCTCCTCTTCGTCATCAGCATCACCTTCTGACTCTTCCTTGTCATCTGCATCTAAAGTGAATTATCACCAAACAAGTTTAAGCGAAAAGTTCAGCGTATGTGTCTCTGCATCATTGATTTGTGAATTAATTTCAGACAAATTTTGCACAGATTTCGCACATTTGTTACAAATGGTCCTGTGTGCAAGGTCACAGAATGCTGACTAAATTATACATCTGCTTCTATAATCTTACAACACATGTAAATATATCTACTACAGATAGCTCATCCAATGTTATATAAGTACAATAGTTACTCTAATTTAGATCTAAGATAACGTGAGTTAAATCCAAGGTATGGTTTTTGTACTCACTAATGCGATTTATTATACATGAGTGGGTCTCTGTGGAATAGGTAGAAAGTGTTAGTACCTTAGAAGACAAAAAGCTTTGGAATCGATCACAGAAATTTGATCTAAACACATTTCCAACCTCCATTTTTTAGATAGGTAAATTTGTCAACACGTTACAAAACAAACACGCAACGCAGGCAGGTTAAGGAACTGTAGAATACTATCTGCTGACGATGGTGGCGTTGCAAACTCTTCGAGCTTTAAGTGACTAGGATTGGTTAAACGAAGGTTTATCCCGTTAAAGTTCGTAGCATCAGTGCCATATTCACAGAGGGGCTAACAGAGCGGCAAAAAATTACAACAGAAAGAAAAATCCTGTAATGTCAATTTATTAAAAAGTCGAATAGAGGCGCGTTTGCCTGTTCCGTGATTGTATATGTAACTGCCACTTGAGCTCGACGTCTTGATTGCGATTTGAGCGCGTCGTCGTCTCCTATACTGCATTGATTATAAGAAGGTAGTAGATGGCGCTGTGTTTGAAGATAAACACACACAGGAAAAATATAAAACGGCACCAAATTATTGTAAAGTAGAAATATTCAGCACTGCAAACAGAAATAAATCCTTCACAATAACAACTAATGACACTTCGGCAGTTTAGTTGGCAACATAAACTACCATCTTACAAAATTAAATGAATACAGTATAGCAGTCTGTTTATTTGCGCCTTCAGTACTCACCATAGATTTAGAAGACTAATGGAGGGAATATAATGGTAGAGGGGGTAAGAATTTTTGTAGACGGAAGTTGCCACATCCAGAGGCCACTCTCGTGGATAGGTTCCCGTGTAGGTACATTTTGGCCAAATGCGAGTATCTCCGAAACGCATCAATAGAATTTAAAAAGCAAAGCAGATTAGTAATCACGATTAAATTGGCTTTCAAATAATGTGCCATTTGCCATAGGATTCCATTTAAAATTTTAGGGGTTAAGCTCCCTACGTAGAGGGGTGAAGACTTGGGTTCGTGATTTGTACTCCAAAAGTTGTCCCCCTCGAATACAAAATTGACGTGTTCGAGGATTTTTCGAAATTTATAAATTGAATACCCTAAAAGCCCTCTGTATACTTCTCGTTGGGCCACATATCTCAAGAACAGCTCTCAAAATATGCGTTTGTGCTCTCAATGTTGGTGTGGCTATAGTAAACTGGCCTTAATTATACTACTGGAACACCTCAATGTATATTTAGATTTGTAGTCAATGATTATATTAAATCTGCATACTTTCCCATCCTTGTCTATTTTGTTTACTTTACCATGAGCATGTATTTTACTCTTTCTATACATTTTTAGCGCATTTTTGAAAAAAATACGCTAATATATTCGTTATGGCTGGCTCTGGATGGCCGGCTGTCCGGGTGAGATCTCAGCAACTACAATAGCTATAGAGACTTCATATTTTCACTAAAAGCTTTCTGTTAGAGTGTAGATGTGCAGGCTCTAGTCTATTTTGAGTTAGATTACTCATGAGATGAGATCGATAATTTAAGAAAATAATTTCGATATGGTTTTAGGAGGTGCTATAATTTTACCTTTAGATAGCGCTACCAGTATAAAAACTTAGTTATTTACTTTGTGATTTGTTTTACAAAATAAAGACGTACAATCAATTGAAATTAAGTAAAATTAATTATTTAACGCAGCCAAAATTACTAGTGAGATCGATAATTTTAAACTTCGCTAATAAAATACTGATCTGTATTACCAAAGATGCGCTTTAATCATGCATATGCTGATTTACAACTTGTTTTGTTATTATTAGTGGAAAGAAAATTATATCTCTACGTCACTGAAGTGAGACGCTAATGATAACGGAAGTGGTGTGGTATTTTATTCACAGCCAGAGGCCACTTTTGGATCCCGTGGTCTATGTCTGGGCCAGGATTTGATTCCCTCCATTAGTTTTCTAACTCAATGGTACTCACACTCAGCATAGCATTGAATGTTTAATGAACAGAGCAGTTAGTATGTTTGTGTTTTCGACTTATCCTACAAGTATTAGGTAGGTACAAGGTGCTACACATACAGGGTGCCCGTCAGTGGTGGCTCTGGGGCGACGCCCTCCCTACAAAAACCAGTAAATCACTTCGGAAGGCATATTTCGCATTTTATAAATTTTTGTCATTTAAGACAAATACTATTTTCAAAAATTACACAATTCCGAATTGTTTAGATAAAAATATAGGAGCAATCAGTGATCTGCATGAATGGAGCGCGCGGTCAAGGGGCTATTTATCGTCCGCCCGAAATCCACTGATGTTCGCTAGCCCACAGACGCTATCGCGCCGGCGCGGATGTAGTTTCCATGGGAATGATGCGCGCTTACATCTTTAATGCTGGCGGAAACTGCAGAACCCAGTTGCTCCATATACACGATCAGTTTGTGATACAATTTTTTTGATTCTGCAATCGCAGTTGTAGGTAGTTGTAAATTTGCATCAAAAGCGAAGGAAATGAAGGTTTTAAATTTTAATAATGATAAACTGAGAATTGAAAGGTGTTTCTCTGTAGTAAAATTAATTAACACTTATCTGAGGAGTACAATGATCGAAAAGAGATTGCCAACGTTAACGATGTTATGAGTTGATTATTTCCATCTTATAATAAAAAACCTCGTAAAAAACTAATTAGAATTACGATGGTTCCCCCGTCCATATATTTCAGTGATCATTTGCAAACGTCAATATGTATGTGTTGCGTAATTCAATATTTATTCAGGAAATAAACATGCAGAATATCCCACGTGCTTAAAAATAGCCTGACTAAATTTTGTCGTTTTTTATCAAATTGTTTTGGTAAGAAGAAATACTTTTCAGCAATTTTCCACCCAAAATGTTTTTGTTACGTGTTATGTGGCAAAATAACTCTACGTATTTCAAAGTCAAAAGTTTCACACGTCAAAATTCAATGGGCTATTTCTATGCAATTGGGATATTACTGTTGAAAAAACTTCAGAACATTCCTGACTTTAAAGAAAAAGTCATTGGAAAATTCATAGAAGGATAGAATTTGGTTTCAAAAAGTAACAAAATTGTAAGCATGTAAAAATAAACTCTTGTTCTTTAGACATGTCGAAATGTTACTCAGCGTCCCCCCCCAAATAGAAGGCCCACCAGCCGTCACTGGTGCCCGTTTTTTGAACTCCAACATGGGATCTCGGTTATTTGAAGAGATGCAATGCAGTTTAAATCGCGGCAAATTTGCGTATTTTGGTGCCCAATAATATGCCGTTACGAAAATTCGGATGTCTACAGAGGTTGTCGAGATTTTTGAAAAAAAACAGAAATTTTCAATTTTAGATTTGCCTTTTATTTCGAAAACAACAAAAAATGGACGTTCTAAACTAAAACATTATTAAAGCCCTTTTTTATGTGAGGAATCCAAATATGTTATGGAAAAATTCAAGGCATAATATTTCTTATGGCAGCCATATAGAATTCTATCATTTTTGAATGAAGCTTGTTTTCCTGATTACAATGATGTATAATAATTATTCTATGTTTCAACTTTAAGATTCTGTCAAAGTATGGAAAAACCGTTTTTGCGAAAAGTAAATGACCAGAGCTGGGTTGAGTGTTCTAAAAAACCGCTCGACAGACAAGCTCTCTAATTGTCTTAAAAATGCTCACGAGCATCGAGTTGTTTTGCAAAGCGAAACTGATTGCGAGTTCCAAGCACTCCAAAATTGCTTGAGCAGTTTATCACGAGCGCTCGGGAAAAGTGCTCGTGAGCAGAAAAAACGCTCAAGAGTGGAAAAACGCTCAAGAGTGGAAAAACGCTCGCGAGCGGCGCTTACTCCTTCAGCGCTTAACGACAGTTAAATGCGCTCACGAGTGAAAAAAAACGCTCAGGAACGGAAAAAAAGCTTGCAAGTGGAAAAAACTGCTCGCGGGCAGAAAAAAGCGTTCGAGTACTTTAAGTAAACGCTCGAGTATCGAACACCAAACGACCGCTCCAAAAAGTCGCTCGTAAGCACTTTTTCAAGCAAACGCTCACAAGCAGTACCCAGCTCATTCATTGACTGTATATGTAACTAAATCAAATTTAAAAAAATATTAATGAAAATTACATTGCAGGCCATATGAGGACGGCTTGCGGCCCGGCTGGTTGCCGACCGCAGCTTTAAAGTATGATAATAATTTTTTAATTGCACATCTTTTTCTAATTTGACCATCCTCATATCTTCTATGGTTTCGGAGATCCCCATGATAGACATCCTTATCTTGGACACTGTGTATATTATATTTTTCCTGTAGTTTATTTTTTATTTATTTATGTTGGAACCAAAAATTACTAAAGCCGCATAACCAGAACCCTTAAAAATAATTTTCCCTAAATAGTGCGGAACCGGAACTTACATTTTACATGGAATTCATATTTTCAAGGAATTTTTATGACTTAATTGCCAGAACGGTCACTCAGATCTAATAAGAACTTTTGTCACTGACCTCTATAACTGGACTAGTAATTGGAACACGGGTGAAATCTAATAATTGACAAGTTGCACTAGCTACAAGAGTCAATTTCCCAAATTCCTCATGAGCTATCTGTAGTATACCTACATCTGTGCTCTCACCTTCTGGTGGTTCCAGATCACTAGCATCAGTTTCATCACCGTGTTCTTCTTCTTTATCACCTGCGTCACCAACAGGGGGCTTAAATATTGATTCTTCTACCATTAAGAACGGTTTGATGAGAGACCATGCTGTCGTTACAAAAGTTTCTTCATCTACGCTACTTTGCTCATCTAAAAAGTACTTGGCTTCCTCCTCAGAAACTAAAATAATCAGGTATGATCATTTTAATTACATGTAACACAAGAATCTCACCTTCCCCATTACGGTCCTTATCAAAAGTGGAGTGGGCTTGAATTTCCATAACATCGACTAAACCATCTTGATTTGTATCAAACTTTCTGAATGTGTCGATCGCTTCAGGTCTTGTGCTAGCCAATTCTTCCTCTAGCTTTTGCTTTCTATTTTCCTCTTCAATCTTTCTGTACTGCTCAAGCACTTGATTTTCTAAATCTTCCGCCTCTTTTTTAAGCGCCTCCTTTTCTTGAACTATGTGTTGCGCTTCTGCATCTTGTTTTAATAAATCACTTAATTTATCCTTTTTCTCTTGCTTTAATTGTATACCTTAACAAAAAAGGTATAAAAAAATATGCCTAGACAAAGCACCTTACCTTTTTGACTGAACTCTAATCGTATTTGACTGCCAATTTTTAACAATTCAGCCTGTCTTTGTGCTTCCTCCCTAGCAGATTGACCTAGTTCGAAACAGTTATTCACACATTTCACGTGTTTGTGTAAATATTCATCTGTTCCGTCGCAACAATCACATACCCCATCGTTCACTCTAGACGAATGTAGATTTAGGGGTTTGTGACCCCCGTTTGTGCAGTGGAAAACTCCATTAGGACATGCCGCGGTTCCTGGTTCATCACTACCATCTGGGCAATCACAATAATCATCATTTATTTGTGTAAAGGGAATGATTAAGCTTCCATCAAAACACTTGAAATCCTTTTCAGGGTTATATAAAGATGCTCTGGAAAGCGAAACACCTCTAGGCCTAGGAACTTCAGATGATAAAATTTGACTTATTACTATAAATACAATAAATAAATAACTACGTATAAAAGGTGTTAGTAATTGAGATATTCTCATTGTTACATTTACCGGTACAAGAACGTACACTGTGCAAGTGTTTAATGAAGTTTGGATGGACACGTCAGTGTCAAATGTCAAGATATATTTCTACTACCAACTGTTATAACGCTAATTTCCCTAGACAAATATTAAACTACAAGGCGTTTATGAAAAATTGTATAATAAAATGATGATATCATAGGCGCTTTCTTTCGGCTACTTCCCGATCATGATTCCAAGATCGTGATTCGTAGGATCACGTTTTACGAAAGAACGCGCGAAGTTTAATCAAAGCATGGTTAAGTTTTATGTAGTACACATTTGCGTTCGAATTAGGTATTTTTTGTTTGGATTATGAAAATAATTTAAATACAAGTGGAAGTACTTGTACGATTATGCTCCTCTTCTGTTACAAATATTGACTAACCTAATATTTGAGCAGAAATATCATTGCATTTATAGGTTAGGAATTCGTGATCATAAAACTTTTATGTTCAGTTTGTTCACGATTTTAGCAATCATGTTCATAAGATCATACTTCGAAAGAACGTGATTTGACAATCCAAAAAAGCGCCTCATTGTACAATTGCGTCCCGATAATGTTTGACGCCTATACGGATCAGCATTTTCCTCTTAAGATCTTTTATGGCATACTGTTGTAGTTATGCAATTTAGAATATATAATGTATGTTGCCATGTAAATGAATAGTTTTGTTAATGAGAAAAAATATAATTGTCTGTCAAACGCGCTGTAATTTTTAATTAAAAAAATTACTTCTCAATTATTCATTATCCATCACAAACGGTGCTTCCCAAACAATCTTCACAGGTTATGGGCCTAGACACAGATTGTGCGTGATTAGATATATTTTTGTTCGGATTCATTGAGAAGTGTTGAGCACATCAGCAAGCATAGAATAATAATAATAATAATCGTCCTCACACTTATTATTAGGAAAGAATCGTCCTCAGTGTCCACAATGTGGTGAACTATTAAGTGTACGACATGTCCTACAAGAATGTCAAACTCTGCAAACGTATAGACAGGACTGTGACGTGGGCGGTGGACTCGACGAGTTAGTAAATAAAAGTACGTTTGAAAAAGTAATTAAATACCTAGAGACTATAAACATTGCACGAGAAATCTGACCCCCGAAAACAAATCTTGACCATCGCTGCATGGACATTCAATGATCTAAGTTGTCGAAAATGTCCATGTGGGGATACTAATAAGTGTAAATAAAAAAAAAATAAAAATAATAATAATAATAATAATAACCTCAAGAACAAAGAAACATCATAAATACAAGTAACGCAACATGCACTACAAAGACAGGTCCACCCAATAAAGTTACACGCCCTAGCACAATTAAAAAACACATAACTCCTTCACCGAAGCACACCACGTTATCACAACCCACTCGTATTCAACCCAAACGCAAAAACCTATACAGCACTACTAGCTCACAAAATACTGTAATATCTCCATCAATAACCCAAGCAACCTCACAAATACAACCTCAAGAACAAAGAAACACCATAAACACAAGTAACGCAACATGTACTACAAAGACAGGTCCATCCAATAAAGTTACACGCCCTAGCACAGTTAAAAAACACAATACTCCTTCTTCTCAGAAACAACCCACTCGTATACAACCGAAACGCAAAAACCTTAACAGCACCACAGGCTCACAAAATACTGCAATATCTCCACCAAAAACCCAAGCAACCTCACAAATACGACCTCAGGAACAAAGAAACACCATAAATACAATTAAAAAACACAAAACTCCTTCTTCACAGAAACACACCACGTTATCACAACCCACTCGTATTCAACCCAAACGCAAAGCCAAAGAAACACTTACACAATAAACTCCATTTAATAAAATTACAGGAATTATTATAATGATTTTTTTTTGTTTTGTTTTCCTCTTTCCTGATAGCGTTGGCTATTGTGCCCATCAATAGGTATGTTGGTAAGTACGAATTACATTATCCCTAGATGTCCAATGTACGTGTGTGATTTTTTTTTTTTTTTTTTTAAGGACCCTACATAACTTCACCAGACACAGACACAGACACTAATCGTTACTTGATTTTTATCCGTGCGATTAGTTAACCAGGCTAGACCTGAGTTCTCACAAGAAACACCGATAATAATAATAATAATAATAATAAATGTCTTTAATAAGTACCTAGGTTAAATTACATAGAAATGTGTACAAAGGGCGAGATTCAGTAATGGAATGCGGAATAAGGTGAGAAATTAAGGCGCTATGGCAATGGGCGGCAAGAACGGGATTCATGTGCGCAGAACCTAATAGGCGACCTCCAGAACTAGGTGAAAAGGATTTATTCTGTATTATTGGTTATGGTTACTGATGCTTCATGTTACAACACACCAAAGAATTTCTGCATATCATGGTATAATAAAAACGGTATCGCAACGCGCATCGTGACCCCTTTCCCCACGCCTGTATGACGTCAGGCATAGGCATAGGGAAGAGGTTACAGAAACGCACTATTATTTGTGTATCTGTCGGCGCAATTTAGGTTTATTTGAGTAATTACATACACAAATGCAAGCTCGCACAAAAACGTTACAATGAAATGCAAAGCAGATGAAATGTAGGTAGAGGCATTGTTCAAATGGTGCGCCAAGCGCGTGTAAGAGAATGGAAAACGAAGATCGTGTAGGTCTTCATTTTTTAAACAGTTTGAAAATATAGTACACTAGGGCTTATAATTAATCAAAATGTACCTATTTAATAATTTTATATACTCACGTATGTATATCTAAGTGGTCGAAGCAATAAAAGTATTTCCGCGTACTGTAAATATCCTAGTTTACCTACATCGTATTAATCAGATTAATTATATTAAATAAATTGCTTTCAGCTTATTTTTTTAATTTTTGCATGCAATTTTGTACTAACATTTTCAAAACTAGACAACACTAAAATGTAAATTTGAATTTCACCAGAAAACACAGAAAATTACTAAAATAATTTTTGTGGTGAACTTGAAAAATAGAACAAGCTCTAAATAAAAAAATTGTATGCTGTTTAAAATCGCATACAATTTTGTTTTGCGCGTGGCCTATTAGACGATAGGTACATTATTTTAAAAATTACATTAAAAAAATTTTTTTGCCGAATAATTGTAACGTCTCAATTAAGCTTTTATTCTTCTATTCTAAGAAGTATCTACGTTATTAATCGACTCGGCCACAGCGGCTCCTCGTATGATAACGGATGCCCCAAATTTATGTTTAGTCTACAAATTTTTTCGCATACGTATCTTCACGTCCGAAGTATTTAATATCTTAACCCTTCGTTTTTCGTGAATAATTATTACATTTTGCACTCGCGCAACCAGGTATTATCGTTTAAACGTTTATTCGGTATCCTCGCGGTGTAATAAAAGCAGAAATAAAATGTAGCTGCTATTATAAGAAGCAAAAATTCGAGTGTTCGCATTTTCGCAATGCAGACTATCAAGTACACATATGCATAGGCCCTTCCTGTACGTACGATAAATATAATTAGCTCCACAATGCAGATTATACTTCGAAAACGAGGCCCACCATTGAATCTTTATGGGTTTACGCGCCAGATGTAACTAGAGTGACTGGGCACCCGATGCATATAATTAATTCATGTAACAATCAGTCAAAATTTGGCCTCATCCATTATCCGTCATTCCAAAAATGCATTTCGATGAAGTGTTTTCAAACTCCAAGTAGATGTACAACTTCATTATATCTTGCCTTTAAATATTGGACCATTTTTTGAATTGTGCCAGTTTTTGGAAACTTTGAATACAATATGCCATTGATTATATAATGCCTTGTTGCACCAACCACAATTTAACGGTGGATTAACATTAAACCTAGATTAACTAGCGATCTACGTTGCACGACTTTTTAAACTGCGTCTAATATTACTTAAACTTAGTTTATCTAAAACCGTCCTTGTTGGGAGTTTAAGCGAAGGTTTAGTAAAACCCGTTCCAATGCGCATGACGAATAATTATTTTTCTTTGTTTATTTGCAACATAACCCAATACCTAGACTTGCATTAAAATTTGAATATTCCAATTAACTACGTTTGTATAATGGATGATCAGTATGAGGATATATTTGATGATGATCTTCATATTTTGGAAGTTATAGAAGAAGGATTTCCAAGGCGTATTCATTTACGTAAAAATTATTTTGAAGAAATGAGTGACTTCACATTTTTTAGAAAGTTTCGGCTCTACAAGAATACAGTTTTAAATGTTCTAGAGCAAATAGAACCTGCGCTGGAGTATCCCAATGATGTGTAAATAATGTAATACATAACAATATTATATTCCTAAATTAAATGTGTTACAGAAATAACAGTGTGTCGCCAATTAATCAATTGTTAATGGCGTTGCGCTTTTATGCCACTGGGGGACACTTGAACGTATTGGCAGACTTTGGAGGTATGGATACATCCACCATATCAAGGATTATAGTGAGAGTTTCTGAAGCCCTGGCCAGACTTTATCCTCGACATGTGAAAATGCCTGAAGACGTTGTAGGTGAGCAAGTTCGATTTTATGACATTGCTCGATTTCCACGAGCGATAGGAGCGGTCGACGGAACCCACATAAAAATAAAAAATCCAGGTTTGTGAACTGTATATATTAGAAAGTGCTAACTGCTTTTATTAGGAGGGGACGATGGAGAAATATTTAGAAACCGAAAAGGATATTTTTCCATAAATACACAAGTAATTTGTGATGCCGACATGAAATTTTCAGACGTTGTTGCTAGGTGGCCAGGATCTGCCCACGACGCTACCATATTTATGAATAGTAGAATTTGTGCTCGACTAGAAAAAGCTTATCATAAATAAAACCACCTAATTAATAATATTATGTAGTATTTATTGGTTATGTGCACAAAACAAACACATAACACGTTTGACAAGCAATAGTGCATGTTGTGAAGATAGCCGCATTAGAAAATCCCTAGATTTTGGCGGTTTACTTAACAGGCGCATAATTTCGGGTTGTGCAACGCACACGGACATAATCTTCAATTAACTATTAATCTAAGTTTTAATAAACCTTCGTTAACAAAAGGTTTGGTGCAACAAGCCATAAGTGTATATAATCAATGAATATCCGTATACATTTGTATTTCGAAAGCAGAACCACAGCCGAGATAGATACATACTGTTAGCAGAACCACAGACCGAAAAAGTAACCAAGCAATTCTAACCTAAAATTTGCGTTGTGTTTATAGTTTGGTTTTGTGTGGGATTTCGTAGGTAGAATAAAACATGCACGACGAAGTACAAAGACATTCCGTTCACACTTTGGTGTTTAGATCGTTAAAAAGATCGCATGACATGTTTCTTGCTAACCAGGGATTGCTGCCCACTGTTGATGATGTTGCGTATGTATTTGTTTTACACTTCTATTAATTAATAGTAAATTTTTTTAGCGAAAATGTGAGAAAGGGTATTAAAGCTAGAGACAACTATGGTTTAGTATTTGACGATGTAAAAAAGATGCAAGCTATGAAGCAGTTACAGATCATAGAAAACGGACCCAATCCTCCGCCTCCGGGGACTGCATTTCCAACTGAAACAGATAATTTGGTTGCAAATACTAGCGCTGTAGTGCCTTTCAGTGAGAACAGTTTAATTCAACGCAATATTTCGTCTAGTCAACCGAATCAATTGAATAATTTAATGAGGAAGGCGCCATCAATGCCCAAACCGAAATGGCATGCACCCTGGAAATTGTATAGAGTTATAGCGGGACATTTAGGTTGGGTTAGATGTGTTACAGTGGAACCTGGAAACGAGTGGTTTGCAACAGGTTCTGCTGATAGAATCATTAAAATATGGGACTTGGCGACTGGACAATTAAAAGTATCTTTAACTGGTCATGTTAGTACAGTGAGAGGATTAGCCGTAAGCAGCCGTCATCCATATTTGTTCAGTTGTGGCGAGGATCGACAAGTTAAATGCTGGGATCTTGAATACAACAAAGTAATTCGTCACTACCACGGTCATCTTTCAGCTGTATACACGTTAGCATTGCATCCGACGATAGATGTATTGGTAACTGCAGGACGAGATTCTACAGCTCGCATTTGGGATATGCGAACGAAAGCCAATGTGCACACATTTCAGGGGCATACCCATACAGTCGCAAGCGTTATATGCCAAGCTTCCGAACCTCAAATCATAACGGGCTCGCACGATACCACAATACGACTATGGGATTTAGCGGCCGGAAAATCAGTTTGTTCCTTAACTAATCACAAAAAGAGTGTGCGAAGTCTTATTTTCCATCCGACATTAAACATGTTCGCATCAGGTTCACCAGATAATATAAAACAATGGAAATGCCCCGACGGGAAATTTATCCAAAATTTATCTGGACATAATGCAATAGTGAACTGCTTAGCTGTGAACCCGGAGGGAGCTTTGGTATCAGGAGGTGATAATGGCACATTGTTTTTCTGGGACTGGAGGACGGGTTATAATTTTCAGAGACTGCAGGTAATCACATTTTTAAAATTTGGATGAAAACTACTATACAGGGTGTTAAAATTTGTAAAATCACATGTAGTTATGAGATGGAATTTGAGGTGGAATTAGCCAAAAATCAAAGAGTTACTTATAATGCTTTGTAGCGCTCAATCCAATTCTACCTACCTATCCTTTTAAATGGACTAGAGCAAAGCATTAGAAAATTTAAACAACTAAAATAACATCTATTTATTAATGGCATGTGTAAATTTTAATTATAGTTGACATTTTGAGTGCAATATTTATAAATGCTAAAATCTAAAAGTCTACAAATGAACAAAACAATTCGTTGAGAAGCTTGTGAGCAAAAGGCGAAGACTGCACTTACAAATTTGCTTTTCGATTTTATAGACATTTCACCAATACCAAGTCTGTAAGTAATGTAGTTCCGGAACCTTTGCCAGTCAGACAGGTAGACAGACATCAAAAGCCCAAACACTTTTATTTTTGGAAAGTGAAAGTGCACTCAAAATGTTGGTGAACTGGTATGATAATGTGGTTAATGGTTTCAGAGATCTGGTCCATTTAAAAGGATACATAGGTAAGTTGTACATATGTATTCTCTTAAAAGAATCTCTGACTAATTAATACATACAGCAAGCATGGGTAACCCACGGCCCGCCAATAAGTTTGGTCCGGCCTGCTAATATAAGTCATAGTTAATACTTCATACGGCCCGCCAAGTTATAATAAAAATTTGAATTAATTAATTGATTATGATTATGTTACACGTGCAGCATCTGGTGCAAATTCAAGGTGCCAAACCGAAATTGGAAGACGAAACCTTAAAATTTCAAATGAGAATTAGATTTTGACTATTCTTTATTGCAAGTTGTACAGATACTGCCTTCGCTCGGAAAACGGGCTTCTAATCGCAAAACTGCGCGTAGCACAAAATCATTTGTGGCGGGGAAAATACAAAATTTTCACCATTTTCCGGCCGCCTTGAAATGACAAAATTTAAAGCATAACATGAAAAACATAATCTCGAACAAAATCAACATTCATGTACAGTAACAGAAAATAATGTCTCAAAACAATAAAAATAAATCTTCACTTTGCTGTGTATTGTAAGCTGGATACGCAATTCACAATAAGTAAATTGTTTAAAATGTCTGTAAAACACATTAAATCAACTAGAAGGTTTCTTGGTTCATGGGCAGCACGCACAGCTGATGTGTTGCGCGTTTCACACAGTTTCCTCCTGGTAATCTTACAAGGACTACCCTGATGATGCCATCTTTTCCGGGGTAAACTTCTTTAACGCGACCCAGAGGCCATTGAAATGGTGGAAGGTTATTATTGGAGAGTAGAACCAGAGAACCAATGTCTATTTGTCCATGACCCATAGACTGCCATTTGGTACGTTTCTGTAGCTCTGGTAGCACTTCCTTTGACCAACGCCGCCAGAAGTGGGTGATGATTTGCTGCCGATGCTGATATTGCTCTAGTCGAGAAACAGGTACAGCGTCTAGTTGTGGCTCTGGAATTGATGTTCCAGATCTCCCCGTAAGAAGGTGAAAAGGAGTAAGAGGGTGGAAATCATCTGGGCTTGTAGATAAAGGCGACAAAGGACGTGCATTCATTATACCTTCAACTTGAATTAAAATTGTATTAAACGATTCGTAGGTCAATTTGGTGTCACATAAAATCTTAAACAGATGACTTTTCATTGATTTAATATTTGATTCGTATAAACCTCCAAAATGAGGTGATCCAGGCGGATTAAAGTGCCACTTTATTGCTGCATTAGTAGTAAAATCTAAAATTTTATTTTGGTAATTTTGGTCAAGGTAAGACGCATAAAACTCTTTCATGGTACTCGCAGCTAAAACAAAATTGCCCCCATTGTCAGAAAAAAATTGCGATGGCTTTCCTCTCCGCGCTATAAAACGTTTTAGTGCCTCTAAAAAGGCGTCCGCACTTAAACTGGTGAGGAGCTCTAAATGTACAGCTTTTGAGGTAGCGCAAATAAAGATACAAATGTACGCCTTGATTAATTGAGCTTTTCTGGAGTAACCATTTTTAATGTAAAAGTGCCCTGTAAAGTCGCAACCGGTAAAAGTAAAGCATGGGACGAATGGTTTCAGTCTACATTGCGGCAAATCTCCCATTTTTGGGGCAGAAAGCACGGGCTTGTAACGAAAACATTTGACACATTTTCGAACCACTTGCTTGCATACAGATTTCCTTGAGATTATCCAAAATTTTTCACGAATAATTGAAAGTAATTGTTGCGCTCCACAATGTAAATGTTGCAGATGATAATATCGCACTAAAGACCAAACAAATGTCAAATGTGTGATTTTTTGGTAACAGGAGGGGATGGATTTTTTCATATAATAAATTAGAGTGACAAATCCGACCTCCAACGCGCAACAGCCCGTGGTCGTCCAAAAACACACTCAATTGAGAAAAAATGTAACTTTTAATTTTGAGCGGCAGATTTTGCCTTAGCTTTTTAATCTCTACGGAGAAAAATTCATGCTGAACGAAACTTACAATGGTTTGTAAAGCGCGAGCAAGTTCAAAAGTGCTTAAAATGGTCAAGCGTCTATCGACAATTTCGTGCTTAATATTATGTATAAACCGCAACATATAGGCGGTGACCCGTAACATTGTTGAGTAATATGAATATTTGTTTATTATGTAACATATGGGATGTCCGTCAGAGCTGGTAATTACCACATGAGTAGACAATGCTAACTTTGTTTCGGGAAGCTGTTCATGATGCTTTGTTTCGGGAAGCTGTTCATGATGGTTAGGCTCTCCTTGCTTGTGAGGCCAATTTTCAAATGAACTGGTTAAAAAGGTAGGGCCGTAAAACCATAATGAGTTGTCCTGTAGTTGCTGAACTGTGGCTCCCCTGGAACGAATATCCGCAGGATTTGATGCACTAGATATATGGTTCCAGTCCTCAACCCTTGTTAGCTCTTGGATAACTGCAATGCGATTTGCGACAAATAATTTGTATTTATCCGGAGGCGAACGTAACCACGCTAATGCTATTGTAGAATCAGACCAGAGAAATGTTCTACTAAAATGCAAATGTAGCAAAGAAGTTACTGAGTGAATTAGTTGCGCCAATAGAACGTTAGCACAAAGTTCTAATCGCGGTATAGTTGCTGTAGTCTTTATAGGAGCAACTCGTGATTTGGAACACAGTAAATTAACGAATACTCCTGTTGGTGTAGCACACCGTATATAAACACATGCATCATATGCAAAAGTACTTGCGTCGGCAAATCCATGTAATTGAACATCAAAGTGATCAGGTAATACCACAGAGCGAGGTATTGTAATTGTAGATATTTTATGAAATTCTTTAATTATGGAAATATAATCGTTCTCTAGATCTACTGGCTCTGGCTCATCCCATTGAAGTTGGGCCGTCCAGAGTTTTTGAATTAGCACTTTTCCCCTTATAATTAAAGGAGTTAATAAACCCAGTGGGTCAAATAGCTTAGAAATGTTTGAAAGAACCGATCGTTTAGTAACGGTGGCTGAACAAAATGGATGAGTATATTGATACGATAAGCTATCACGAAGTGGATCCTATCGTACACCCAAAGCTTTAGCGTGGTCGTTAGGACCTAATGGAAGTGTGAAATATGCATCTTGATGTTGATTTCTTCGCGATCGTTTGGAAGCCTCTTTGAAGATGCATTTCCTGTCTCACAGATATCACCAGGTATTTTCCAGAATTTTGGTCGCGATATATACCGGGTGGGGCAATAAAACGATACATGGTTTGGGATTCAGCAACATTTTTAAGCCATAGATTATTGCAACAAATCTTAAGAGCATAAATGAAAATTGGGATACAAGCTGAATATGGGGATTTTTTAAATATACTTTTATTTAGATTTTCAACTTTGGCCCATGGCGCATGTGAAAAATGTTATTTTGGCACCTTGGAAAAAAAGGTTGCCTATGCTTGACATACAGGGTGCCCACTGCCCATTATATATGGAATAAGGTCTTGGTAAATAATGACTGTATAAAAAGTTGTTTACCATTTTATTTCTCATAATAAGGCAGCATTCCATTGTTGTTATTTCAGAAAATCATCGAGTAACGAAAAATAACTGCATTTTATTAAATAGCAAATAAAAAAGTTGCATTTTGCGCATGCGCAGTACGAATTTTGAAAAGTGCGTTTTATTTGATTTTGCTAGAGGGGCCTAACACCAAAGTTTCGTGCAAATCGCTCCATAAATAAGAACGTTGCGTTTTGCGCATGCGCAGTAGTATTGTTGAAAAGTGCATTTTATTTGCTTTTGCTAGAAGGACCTATCATCAATGTTTCGTACAAATCGCTCCATAAATAAGAGTGTTGCGTTTTGCGCATGCGCAGTAGGATTTTTGAAAAGCGCTTTTTATTTGCTTTTTTCTAGAGGGACCTATCAGCAAAGTTTCGTGCAAATCGCTCCATAAATAAGAACGTTCGGTTTTGCGCATGCGCAGTAGAATTTTTGAAAAGCGCTTTTTATTTGTTTTTTTCTAGAGGGACCTGTCACCAAAGTTTCGTGCAAATCGCTCCATAAATAAGAACGTTGGGTTTTGCGCATGCGCAGTAGAAATTTTGAAAAGCGCTTTTTATTTGTTTTTTTCTAGAGGGACCTATCACCAAAGTTTCGTGCAAATCGCTCCATAAATAAGAACGTTGGGTTTTGCGCATGCGCAGTAGAATTTTTGAAAAGCGCTTTTTATTTGTTTTTTTCTAGAGGGACCTGTCACCAAAGTTTCGTGCAAATCGCTCCATAAATAAGAACGTTGGGTTTTGCGCATGCGCAGTAGAATTTTTGAAAAGCGCTTTTTATTTGTTTTTTTCTAGAGGGACCTGTCACCAAAGTTTCGTGCAAATCGCTCCATAAATAAGAACTTTGCGTTTTGCGCATGCGTTGTAGGATTTTTGAAAAGCGCATTTTATTGGTTTTTGCTAGAGGGGCCTATCACCACAGTTTTGTGCAGAACGCTCTGTAAATATGAAAGTTGCGTTTTGCACATTATACGCTGGGACCAATATTAATGACGTACATCTGAATCGCAAATATACCCCTAATAACATGTTACGTCATCGCAAAAATCACTATCAAATGAACCTAATAAAAGGGTGCATTGCTATTTAAAAAAATGTAATTGTTTTTCGTAAGTCAATTGTGTGCAGAAATAAAAAAACTCAATGCTGCCTCTTATGGGAAATAAAATGTACAAGGTACTACAATAGTGCGTCGGTCTTTTCTAGTTCATAGCTGGTAAAAAATTTTAACATTTTTTGTGCAAATGTCAACCATAGGTGGTTGCGCATCTACAGAAATTATTTTTGAATGTACAGGGTGTTCCATTTTTATAGTTTCAATAGACAACTGATTTTTTTAATTAACACCCTGTATATTTCTAGTTGTTTCGATGCCATTTTTTAACCTCTGCATGAAAACCTATTCACTTTTTGGTTTTTGTCAATGTTACCAAATTATTAATTTTTTTCAGAATGATTCCCCTAAGCACTTTGATAAATCGTAGCGACCTTGATTTTAAAGTGAAGAAATACATTTGATCAATAACGATAATCTGAATAAAAGGAAACACTTTGTTAATGAGAAAGTTGGATTTAGTGAAACAGGGTATTCACAAAAAATAGTAAAATATTTCCAAATTTCAAAGTGTCGTAACTATTTTTTTTCAAATTGATCTACCACTATTTTATTTCTCTATTCGATAGTCTTGGGTGCTCTTTAATTTGTATAGAGGGTATCCCGCTCCTAAACCCCGTAGTTTTAGGTTAGTCAATATTTTTCACAAAAATAGTTACACATTAATTAATTACATGTTTATAATCGGCTTTGTAGTTCAATGGTAGAGCGTTGGGCTATAAAGCCGGAGGTCGGGTGTTCGAACCTGGCCTAAGGTAAGAATTTTTCATCTGTAACCTTTTTTTAGTCACAAAAGGGGCACCTTGAGAATTTGAAATATTCATTTAAAATATTTCATTTAAGGGATTCTTTGAATAAACTTTGTACAAGTTTGGAAAAAAGATTATCGCAGGTCGGACTTTTAACAAGCTAGAAAGGAACCCAATAAGCATTATATGAGTGCGAAGTGAGAAATTAAAAGTGCTGATGCCATTCATGCTTCTTTTGAGTAGGCTAGTATCAATGACACTCATATAATGCTTATTGTGTTTCTTTCTAGCTTAAGTTATAATCTCTTTCCATACCTGTACACATTTTAAATGAAAGAATTTTTCTGTATACAGGGTGTTACATACAAGTATGTAAAAAAAAATTGGGTGGAAGAGGGGATCAAAACAAAAACTTTTTCCAAATAAACCGAGGGTCCAATGTCTTCCGTTTGGAAGCCACCCCCACAAAAGTGATGAAATTTGCATTTCTTCTTTAATTTTTTTCTCAGTAACCATAAGTGTTAGAAAGATTGGTGGCACGTCTTTGGATAGGTTTTCGGGTATGCTCTTTTTGATTTTGCAAATTTTTTTTATTACCACGAAGGGTGTACTCCGAAGTAAGGATGCGAAAAAAATTCTGATTTCTCCGAAATTTGGTATCTGGGGGTTTTTGAACATGAAAATCACGAATATTAAATTTTAATGCAATTTTTGGTCGGACAACAAAAATGGAGGAATTCCACGAAATTCGTTGTGTACACACTTGAGTAGACGGGGGACACTTTCTGACCCGAATGCCCCATCTTCAAATGAGTATCTTTTGTTTGAAAAGTGATTTTAAAAAATTGTTCGACAATTCTGTTCCTTAACTTATCATTCATCAAGTTTTGAAGCATTTCCACCACATTTCTCCAGAAGCGCTAGAATCGTTAAAACAGCTCAAAGCCTTATAAAATTAAATTTGTCCTGGCAAGATTGAATTAGAAGTGTAAATATTCGTACGGTTATATATATATTATATACTCATATACACAACTATTTTCGTGATATTCTCTCCATTTTCTTTGTCCAACCAAGAATTGCAGTGAAATTTTTTTTAGAATTTTTAAAAATCAATTTCAGATTGGTGATTTTCATGTTTAAAAACCTCCCGATACCAAATTTCGTCGAGATCAGAATTTTTTCGCACCTCCATTTAGGGATGCGCCCCTTCGTGGTAGCAATTTTGAAAAACGGAAAGGGCATACCCCAAAAACTATTCAAAAACGTGCCACCAGTCGTTCTTATGGTTGCCGAGAAAAAATTAAAGAAGAAATACAAATTTCAACACTTATGGGGATGGCTCCCAAACAAAACATGTTGGACCCTCAATTTATTTCGAAAAATTGCTTGTTTTGACCCCTCTACCACCCAATTTTTTTTACATACTTATATGTAACACCCTGTATACTAATTCATGTTGAGTCTTTAAATCTATTATCAAATGCATTTTTTAATTATGAAAAATAATCTTCTAAGAGATGCATATGAACAATGTATATAGCCACTATACTCTTTTAGGCACCTGTACAACCAGGCTCAATGGATAGTGAAGCTGGTATCTTTTCAATGATATTCGATCATTCTGGATCACGGCTAATTACCACCGAGGCAGACAAAACAATCAAAATATACAAAGAAGATGAAACTGCTAGTGAAGAGTCGCACCCCATCAACTGGAAACCAGATATTCTCAAACGAAGAAAATACTAAAACATGCCATAATTTATTTTAAAAATTCACTGCAAATGGTTATAATTTAAGCGTTAAATGAAAATAAATAGTTAATAACGAGGAATGTCATCTTTATATTTCGTCTAGATCGTAAGATTCTTCTGGGAAATCTCCGCATACAACATTTTGAGGTTTCACAAATGCTCCATAATTTGGTGGGCACTTGAAATATTCTTTTCCTTTATACCTACAAATGAATGGAGTGAAATTGTGAATGGGAAAATTCCAAACATTTCTTACGTTCCATCATTTTTTCCAAGAGGTTCGTCATATTTCACACCGACCCATTGACCAGCAAGACCTTCTATTAACCCCTTGTATAACACAGCGCCTAACTTTGTAGGGCCATTGCTTACATTTACTTTACATCTAGATCCAATTTCAACAGTATTTATTAACTCTTTTTCTTCTTCTTCGGCTTTTTCTTTATTTTTGTAATACTCTTCATTGTACTGGCCTGCAACATTCAATTTTTGCTTCTCGAGATAGAAAGTTTATTAGTATATACCTATTTTGTTTTTGACTAAAAATGCCTTCACCGTGTCTGTACGTTTTGCATACATTTCCGGTGCCATTTCATATTTTTCAACATTTTCGAATTCTAATTGATTTTTAATCGCAAAGTTATCCACAATATATAAACGCATCCCATTTTCAAGCGGAAACGAGCCAAGCAAAGCATTATCGTCGACTAAAGAACAAACAAATTTATTGTCTTTGTCATACGCTTGTATCTGCATTGTGGAACAGCTACCACCAGTAATTAACTCCAGCTTTGCCTACAGATGTGTTTCATTTTAAATTGCTGAGGTATTCATTTCGTTACTTACTTTTAAGTTCGATATTGTGATGTCTTTTGGAAAACGTCTTTCGTTGAATGATAAGTCATGACCTGATGTTGATATTTGAAGATTTACGAAATCCGACGTTATTACCTTGTAATCAGCCATTATACACAGAAATTAATTGATATCTACTTGTTAGAAATTATTTTGATTATTTTGCTGGCTACCAAATTTGATGTAAATAAAAATCTGTCATGTCATCTCTGCTCTGTCAAACAAACAAAGCGTGACGACGTTGAGATAAAAGGCCTAAACTCCGTACAATCTGCGCATGCGAAAGAAACGTCAAAGTTGCAATGAATAAGAATAAAAGGAAGGAGCATATCAACTATAGAAAGGGGACTGACAATATCCTATCCAGCGCAATGCTGCGCGGTGAAACCTGAGGCGGCCATATTTTCGGAGCCAAAGTTTGTTTACTTTTTGCTAATTGCGTGGGTGTATTTGCATTTTCGTGTTTATGCGGTCCTTAAATCTCTAAGTGTGCATTTAAAAACATTAGTGGACAATGGTACATTGTAGTGCACGGAAGTGCGGAAGTGATAGCCAAAAAACTCACAAGGAATATCCTTTCACAGGATAGGTTACTTTAATGTGAGTTGCTTTAAACTGGTCGTAGATCAATATGTGTAGTATTAGTCGGCTGTGTGGTGAGATCTTAGACTATGAAAGAGAGGGGACCCGTAATAGAGAGCGCGCGCGTGAAGCAAATTGCGATCATACTGCCACCACCAGTGGCGCCCGCTCGGGTATTACATTAGGAAATTACAATTTATTTATACTGCCATCATGGTACGATTAACCTGTGTGTAGGTTCTTATTTGAATAGAGAGACAAAAAACGCGATAAACGTAAACATACGACTCGACTTTGATCGTTTTGGAAACTAGGTGCGCGATATAAACGCAATATTAATTGAAAGTATACTTACTATACATAAGTATGTAGATATTACCACATATACCTTTAGTAAAATTCTGCACACCCCGTTTTTGAAGCGATCAAAACTGAAAAAGGGTAAATTATAAATGCACACATCTTTCTCGTGAGGAACCCTGCAACGTATTTAACAATTTTTTCAATATTGCAGAGTTCATGCTTTTTGAACAATCATTTATTGCATATCTTCCACTTCTATTTCATTGTTCCAATTAATTGAAGCATTAATAATTTGTTCGTTGCTTTCTTGCGACGGACAAGTTATATAGAATATGGATTGTATCCAGAGGAATACAACTCTCCACCCCACTATCTCACAACTCTGTTGTAATCAGCAAGCGTTTGTAGGTATATGCACTTTCAAACTGCCTTGAGGTGGGGTTGTTATTCTATCCATCCCTTGATCTTTTGGAAGAAGAAAATAATTCCAGATGGTCCTGGCTTAGTTTAGGATCCTTCGCAAAAAATACATTGTCGTTTCCCTATGGTGCATACTACCTGGGACACATTGAATCTTTTTCTTCCCGATATATCTGCTTGCTTAATTGTGAATGGCAGTTAGCGCTTCTGATGTGAATCCTGGGGAACAATTGCTTGATTTATAGGTACAATTTGCCGATGGTGCACACCAGTATCATACACTGTTCTGACATAATTTTCCCCTTTTGGAGACAGATCATTAGCTTATACACTGTTTGCGGCTAAGTGCGGAGAACCAGGTGATCATGCACCAACAAAGTACATAATGAACTGTACTTGATTGATACACTTCTTATCAGTTTGGTTGTTATCATGAAGGAAAATAAAGTACAACGTTAGTAAATAATTCTTATATTGAAAACTGTACAAATAAAATAAATGTACCTATATTCTTTTCCGAGTGAATCTTGAGGGCAAACGCAGCTGATGGTTTCAGAATGGGAAATTATTTCTAAACAAAATAGCAACCATAAAATAGAATAAATGAATTGGAATACTCACAATTATACAACAGGCTTTGGCAATAAAGCCCTAAGCAGTTTCTTGTACTTCAGTAATAAGCTGTTGATACTATAGCAAACCGTTGACGATGACGACGGTGATAATATTGAATTGAGATGTCTTCTCCCCTAACGGGTTTAATCATAACGATCTTCCTTCAGGATATCTTGTCTTTATCGAATGTGGCGGCGATCGATGTGTATTGTTTCGAACATCCATCGATGACCTCTCTCTTTTTAAGACCAAATCCTATCTGTCGTACTACATGTAAGTACAAAGGCAACATACACTATAGTTAAACTACTCTATACAAAGTAATCAGTCGCCTAAGGGTTAGGCATCCAAACATGTACATATCTGTTACGTCATGTAACTAGATAGTCACGCCGCCACTGGAATATCACTTGCTTACTGTAATCGAGAAATTATCAATGAAAAGAAGTATAAAGCAGTATTTTATTGATGCACAAAAATATAGGACAATTGTAAGATTATGAAAATGAAGACCTTAAAAGTGTTTTATTAACTACCATGAAGATTTAATTAAATTTAGCCAAACCAGACAACGTGCCGTTTTTTATCTTGCCTATGAAATGATATTCCTGCTGGACAACGACCACTGCAACTTTTACAGTTGTACGCAGAACAATTCACCACGTTTATATCACACAGTTTTGCACACACAAACTTTATCAATAATGAAGAAATGTCAATAAATTCACACTGCCACCGCGCTTTGACTGCCACCGAAAATATGGCGGTCGTCTCGAAATTCGCGTCAAATTCACACATGCCTTGGATGCGGTATTACGGGTCCCCTCTCTTTCCTTGTCTTAAGGTAAGTTCATAGCTCTCCGTTCATACGTTTCCGTTTGTCCGTTAGCCAATCACAAGATAGCAAATTTTTAAATCGTACGTCGTCCGACGGAAAAGTTGGTTGAAGTTGAACATTTACGTTTCCGTTGGTCCGTTTTTAACAAGAGTGAGGTTACGTTTGGTACGTTAACAGTGTTCGCCTATTCGTTCTTTACGGTAATAATCAGATCGCAGCGTGTTCTTACTATCGTACCATTTTTACATACTGAAAATCACGGAGGGTATAGTACTAAATAAAATTTAGGTTATGGTTATACGTTGCAAATGTACAATGTGGACGGATTGCTATAAACCTTAACAAAATGTACTATCCGTTTGACGGATCAACGCAACGGATGAACGGAGAGCTATGAACCCACCTTTAGGGTGAGATCACTTGTCACTTGTCAAACTTTGTAAAATCAGACACACACACAAATATTGAATACCTACATATAAACAGGCATTTATTACTTACAGACATACATTGTGTTCTTAAGTTTTAGTTGAAGTGTTCAGTTTTACTTTGTTACATAAATAAATGTTAATTCGGTCTACCTCATATTCCCACATTGGCGACGAGGATGGGATTATTACTTGCAGCGTTTTGAATTGGAGTTGGAAATACGTGGACTAATGGGAAATGATTCGGCGGAGGTAAGACGAAATTTGCTGCTATCAAAGGTAGGTGCAGACGTTTTTAAAATTTTATTTGATCACTTTAAACCCGAAAAGTTGATCGAAAAGACTTATATACAACTCACAACAGTGCTAAATAAAATTTACGGTAAAAAGGTTTACATTTTTGCTGAAAGAATAAACTTTGCGGGCTGTTTTAGGAATGAAAATGAAAGTGTCACTAACTATATGCGTGCATTAGCTGGAGACTGCAGTTTTGGTGCTGGCTTAAACGAACGAATGCGTGATCAGTTAATTTTCGGCATAAACAACCGCGAATGGCAAGAAAAAATTATTCAAAAACATTCAACAAACGATAGGTACTACTTCCGACGAAGTAGAAGCGACGTCTCTCATTTTAGAACAAGCGTGCATTCAGTCAAAGCAGTTAAACAGTTTACAAATCAATCAGATTTCGGACAATAATTATGTGAACCGCGTAAGTAAACCGGGAACTTCAAAACAAAAATTTAAAAGTGACAAACATTTGCCAAAAGAAAATAAACCAAAAATTATTGACTTAAATCCACAAACAGACTGTTTATTTTGCGGTGATTCCAAACACAGGCAAAAATATTGTTCGGCCTATGGGAAAGTGTGTAGCAGTTGCGGAGAAAAAAATCATTTCGCTCGTGTTTGTGTAATTTCGGGACGTGCAGTAATAAAACAAGGTACTAAATCAAACGCATACGAGGGACGTTCAAAGCATTCTACGCGCTATGTTCGTGACGATAGTGATAGTGAACAAACTTCATCTGAATCTGAAAGCAAACAGAATCGGACGATGAAATGAAGAACAAGGCTATACGTAACGTGAGAAAAGACGGCCCTGCCACAAAAGTACTTTTGCCGGTCTACATAAACAAAATTATGGTCGTTTTTAAATAAATACATGGTCATCACGGATTGCCAGCACGGCTTTCGTCCAGGATATTCGACGGCATCCGCAAACTATGAATTTACCCAGTATCTTTTTCGGGAACTAGACAAAAAGAATATTATTGTGGCACTTCAATTTGACCTATCGAGTGCATTCGACAGCGTCAATAAGCAAATTGTGTGTGCAAAATTGGAAAGGTACGGATTAAGGGGCACGATAAACGAATGGCTCTACTCCTACCTGTCAAACCGTTCAATCGTTGTAAAGGTGAATGGAAATATGTCCGACAAATTCAATCTCGAGATAGGGACCCCGCAAGGGAGTGTACTTGGCCCACTGATCTTCCTTCTATTCATAAATGACCTCCCAGAATACATTTCTAGCGGTAAATTATTTATGTACGCCGACGATACCACTGTTGTGGTGAGTGGAAATACTACACAGGATATCGTCCATAATGTCGAGATAGTACTAAATCAATTTGAGTCATGGTGTGGGAAGAATGGGCTAGCTGTCAACTACAACAAATCTGCGTTCATTGAAATTCATTCCAAATACTGTGATACGAACACATTCAACTTTAAAATGAACAACCATGTAATACCAAGTGCACGGAGGACAACATTCTTAGGCATACGCCTTGATGATACGTTGTCTTGGTCTACCCAGGTGTCTGATGTCTGCTGCAAGCTTAACAAGATTTACTACCTAATGGTGAAGCTCAAAAACTCATTTGGACCTGGAGTTTTAGTAAGTGTGTACTATGCATTAGCATACTCAGCGATTAGTTATAATATTGCCGTATGGGGAGCCAGCATTTACTGTGACAGAGTGTTTGTATTGCAAAAAAGACTACTCCGATTAATTTTCAATATTAAATACTATCATTCGTGCCGAGGGGTTTTCCG